CACTTTATACAGTAAAAGTAGGATTAACATAGCTAAAATAAGTAAATGGCCATTTATAGTTCCAGCCCATTACACCTACAYGGATGACTATACTACATAGGTCCCTCACTAGCTTATATTTTAAATGCATTCAATTTATATCTACAGCATAAAGTCCATGTACATGGTAGGTGACTTTTTGGTATAATAAACAATTCTGCAGTGAATGGATATGTGCAGTGCTCAAGCAATCAATATCACCTTCAACAAGAAGTAGGAAAAAAACACAACTATTTTATATTAGCAACCTTCTTAAGCACGTCAAACATTTTTTGCAAAGGGTGTCTCACTGAAAAACATCAAATATGTATGCTCACTCTTTTTTTATTTGCTGCCTCTGTGGGGTCATTGGTGTGATATCCTACAGGTTTATGCAATTTAGACTGTCTTTCTGCCCTATTCCCACTCCAYCTGGTGTGATTTCTCAACTCATTGGCTCACCTGAATCCATTGAACACAGCTGAGAAATGAGCAGAGGTCACTGACACACTCCTAATTCCTACCAACTAATGGAAAATCAGCAGACAAATAGATCCCATGAAAAGTATGCCTGCTAAAGAAAACTTTGTGGTATAGTTCACCTGCTACCTGCTAAACAGTTAGTTGGTCATCATCTGATCAGGACTCGCATAGTTTGAAACTACCTGCACTTTTCTATACTATGTTTGGAGTGCTGAGAGACCACTACAGGGAGGACTGGTTCATGGAACATATTATGAGTGAGATTATTAAGCCATATAGGAGAAAGAAAAAGTAATTTGAGGGCAAAAAGGTGGGAATAAACATGATGAACGTAAGACATACGTCTCTAAAACACCTTAGAGACTTCATGAGGCTTGCACGTCATCAAACAGCTTGCTTTTTTATACCAAGTCCTCCAAGATTACTGACAAATTTGTATATTGCAGAATGCTCTACATGTTCATTACATTCTTAATTTTCACGGCCACCCTTAACTGATTYACATATCCAGTGCAGTGAAAATGAGCGGTGAGGGGCTGTTCCTTATTAGCAATATCATAAATTCATCAGTGGATGGCACATTTGGAAAGTAGCAAAAGTTTGCATTTTTAAATTCCACTGTTAGTACACAGACTGAAGAAAAATACTTATTTTTAGATATAAAGATAGAGATAGGAGGCACCCACCCATTCACATCCCACTCACATACAAAGAAAAAGACATGGAGCTCTGAAAAAAAAAAAGTGAATTGATATTTAAACAATTTTGAGGTTGGATGAGACAGATGACGAAAGACTGCCAGAACAGTTTTATAAAGCTAAAATTTGGTAAACTTTTGTAAAGCTGAACTTAAGTGGGAAACATTCCAAACTCGGGACCTGAATCCTTGCTAATCTTTATAGCAAAAYGTAAAATACCAGGACTTCGCTCTGGAGCTATAAGCCAGCATTCCTGCAATTTCAGGCACTGAAACTCAGYGCTAAATGAACTTGATATTGTCGAGCATAAACGCAAATTAGCCCACAGCACTCTCTACAGCTCATGTTTAAACTGTCCRTGTAGACATTTTATGAGCAGATTTGGATAGCATTCTATTTCTTTCCTTCTTATTTTTAAAATCCTGCGACTGCACAAGAACATCAAGTCTCTAGTTGTTTGAGGGCCATGTGACTCTTCTGTACTTTGAACTCAGATAAACTTCTTACTGAATGAAGTCATGTGTAAAACACTTTCCAGCAGAGATTATTTTGAATCAGGCCATACTAAGAAATGCAACAGAATTTCAACACTCCTATCAGTTTAAAAAAAAAAAAAAGAAAAAGAAAAGAAAAGAAAAAGAAAAAAAACGCCATTCTTATACAGAGTGCACTACTTTTCAGGGCAGGGGTGTGCACTCATATAAACAAAACTATGCTTATACTGAATTAATGTAGATACTTTTTAGTTAATTAATGGAAAAAATCAATTTTCTTTGTAATGACACATCAGGGGAAAAAAAAAGAAAAAAAAAMCCTAATTCTACATAGGTCTTCAATGCATGCATACATCCTTGTTTACAAAATATATTTTCATAAATCACAGAATCACAAGTTTAGATCAATAGAACCAGAATCAGGTCATAGCCTTCAACCTTGAGATGCATTATCTCTGTATATTTCTTAKTCTGAAGAGATACCAGGTTTAGGTAGTACTTGTACTAAAAAAATATACATTACCCTGATCATTCTGCCTTTTTTTTTTCTTCCCCCTCCATAGGAGCAGAACATATGRCCCATATTCTGGCTATCTTCCAACAGGAGTAATTCCATTTAGACCACATAAGTTYCCCCTGTGGCTTAGCTGGATACAGCTTGCCTCCTCAGTTCCTCCTGTGAGCATTTATACCTTGTTGTGGAGCTCCATTAGAGGACTCCTGCCCTCTGCCCCACAGATGACTGCTTTTCAGCAATAAGTGAAACAATTTGTATAAACATGTAATCATATCCTGAGGTTTTGTGGGGGGAGCAAGGGGAGGAGTACAGAGTCCGTTTTGTTTCTTAACATGTGTTTTGAGTTCTTAATCATTTGATAGACACAATATTTTAAAACAGGATGGTGTTTTATGTTGTGAAATTAATAGATGATGAACATGGGATTCTTCCTCAACAGCCTTTAGTATCAACAATGCAATGAATGTTAAAGGATCATTTACCCTTTGGTCCTCGCAGCACATCTGAAAACTATACATTTTTTCTGAGGATGTAGAGCAGCCTGTAGATTCATAGAGGGCTATGTGTTGAGAACAAAGAAAATTAATATAGTGGAAGACACTGGGCACACTCTCAATTCAAAAACAAAAAATAAACAACAACAAAAAAAGAGAATGCGCATGTGGGGAAACCAGGAAAAGCACAATAAGAGCTTGGATATCTTTCATTTTTATGCTGGGACATTGACTCTTTGTATTGCTGGGTTTTGTTTAAAGGATAGAGAGAATGCAATGTAACAGATACACAACACCATGCAATGCCAGAGTCCACCTTGTAGCCTGAAGATTTCAGAGTAACTTCAAAATTACTTTATAGGTAATTAGTGCCTGTGCAAGGTTCTGGAGACAAGGTAAATATTTTGGGAGAAAAGAAGAAACAGAGTGCAAACACAAAATCAAGAACAAAATTACCGAAAGGAAGAAGTGCATGCTTCTACTTCTGATTTTCCAGTCTGAAATCCAAATTTGAGATTTGGGTATCTATTAATGTCAGCAAAATTCTGCAGTATTTATTATATTTACAAAAGCAGTGACAAATTACAAAAAATGTGACAAATTATGCACCCTGAAAATCAGACACCAGTTTAACAATTCTCCCTGCATTAGATTTAAGTGTTGTTGAGCAGCAAAAATACTACAAAGASAATCATTAGACCAGTCCATGTTTTAATCTCTTGTCCAGATTTATAAACTGCTGACAAATGCTAAAGCTGTTCAACTTTACTAAACAAATTGTACATGAGATTGGGATTTTTTTCTGCAAGAGACCTGAAGGAAGAGCTCTCATTAGCTAATTTATGTGTCTGTCATATGCACAATGCATATGCACATGTACATATACATCAGTTAAAATGCATTTGCACCAGATTTTATTTTGCCTTCTACTTAAAAAAATAATGACAAAACTTTATAGCTTCTCATGAACTAGAAGTGGGAACTGTTCTAAAAATGTAATGAGTGGGCAGTTTTCTTCCATTTTGCTCAGCTTATTTGTTTTTTTTTAAACACATCCTTCCACTTCAGGGGCACAGTGATCTGGTATGGCACTGGTGTACATGGTTCATGAGAAGCCTCTCCTGTTTGTATTCATAAAGGCATTGGGATTCTGCTTCCCTGTCATCTCTGCTCTTCAGAGCTGGCACAGGATTCAAACCATTGTGGAGGCTCCAGCCTGAAGCAGCCGTGTGAGGAAGCCTGTCAATGTAGGGCCCAGCGGGCTCACAGCTGGCAATGAGCTGGAGGCTGCTGCAGCTCACACTGAAGGGCMCTCACAGGCTGTATGAACACAGCTCCAATTAACCCAGAAAGCTGGGCAGCTTCCTGATTTGACTGCCAGMTCTTCTGGTAGGATGCAGGCTCTTAGTTGAAAAGACCAAGAAGTTTGGGACCAGGCCAAACCACAGAAGGAGAGAGGAGGAAAAATAAGGGAAAAAAAAAAAAGCATTTAAGTTTTAAAGGGAGATGTAAAATTCAAGGTCTGTGTGGTGGCATCTTTTTAAGGATAATGAAAGAGAACTAGTGCCCCAATCCGAATACAAACTGATAGGTCTCTGGTGTGCAATATTGCCATCATGTGGCTGTTCCAGCTGTGCAAGAATATCAGCAGGGACAGAATATATCAGAACCTTGCCCTAAACTTGTAGCTTTTTAAAACGTGTTTAATAACATTAGCAAACCACAGAAGAACTAAAGAGGTGGTGATAGCTCCCTCATAATRTCCCTTCACTAAAAAAACACAAACAATTGTCTTCAAATCTTTTTTTTTCCCCCTTCTCAATGTTTAGTAGCATTTCTCTTTTTTAAAGACATACTCATCAAGTCTATGCCATAATTATACTACAATGCACAGTGCAGAATACAACTAAGCATCAAAAATGTAAAGAAACTCCAAAATGACAAACACAGAGTTCCTAATTTCAGGAAACCAATCTTTAGACATAATCCGAATGTGAACAGCACAATAGCCTCGRCTAGGGAAGAGTTCCAACATGGGAAAATACACGGAAGTTGGCATAGAGTCAGGAGTGGAAAACAAAGCAAATGAATCAAGTTAGTAATTTAAACAGAAAATGAAATACTGACAGGCACAGGACAAAAACCATGAAATGCTGAAGAAAACTGTAATAAATAAAACATGCATCTAGGAAAGGAAAAACTGTACCTCATCAGAAAAGTAGTAACTGAATTGAACCTAATCTAGGGAAGAAGAGTGATTCAGTTAAATTGGCAGTAAAGAAAAATAATCACCTACCTCAGCACTCAAGAGAGAAGTTGTTCATCTTTGTAGAGCTTCTATTTGCGGTCATCTGGAACCCTGCCCAAGCAAAACAAGCATTATTTAGCACACTAAGTGTCCCACTGCTTGCTTGTTTCACAGCTTCAATGAGGGGCACACACAGCTCACTAAGAAGGGACAACTTTGTGGCCTGTGCATTGCACCAAGTACAACAGGTGGTTTTTTGCTCAGCTGGCACTACAAGAAATAATAGTGACCTGAAATCAAATTAACATAACCATTAGAATAGTATCYACAGAAATCTTCTCTCAAAACACCTATAAAGCAGCAGCAAAAGCTTAGTAACTTTAGTAAACAGAAATATTGATGGAGTACAGAAGCTTAAACTCCATACGTGGTTTGAGATACAAAAGGAAGTCCTATTTATATTCATGTCTCCTAGCATTTGACACCTGTAAACATTAAAATGTGCCTGCCCACCATCGACATTGGAACTAGAGAAAAGCTGCTGTGCTTGATAAAGACTTTTCTAAGACTACTCTTCTAAAATAAGAGCAAAAAAATAAACAATTTTCTTCTTCACTAAGTAATTTTGAAAACAATATTTGTGATATTCATTCAAGTTGGAACTCTAAAAAGAAGTAGAAGGTAATAAAGAGAATCAGCTGCATATTTACTGGCACCCTGATCTGGAGCTGCTAAGATGGTAAGTATACTTTTCTGTTGTTGTTGTGGTAGGTTTTATTTGATTGCTTGACCAGATTGCAAAAAGCTTATCTACTAAATTGTTTAGTGGTTTTATAAAACAGTTTCACCCAATCAGGATAAGAAGGAAGAAGACAAAAAATGTTCCTAATAAAAAGACTAGTCTAAAAAAAAGCTGAAAAAAAAAAAATATCATAGGCTGCAAGTTTCTATACCTGTCACAAGTTTCAATGTATCCTTGGAGGGACTCACAGAATGGTTGAGGTTGGAAGGGACCTCCCGAGATCATCTAGTCCAACTCCCCAGCACCAGCAGGGATACCTAGAGTGTGTGGCACAGGGCGGTATCCAGGCGGGTTTGGAAGATCTCCAGGGAAGGAGACTCCACAACCTCCCTAGGCTGCCTGTTCCAGGGCTCTGTCACCCTCACAGAAAAAAAGTTCTTCCTCATATGGAGATGGAACTTCCTGTGTTTCAATTTATATCCTGTTATTTTTGCAGTGAAAGTGCAGAACAAACTAAGAGGTTGAATTAAGACACTAACTCCCTGTCTCTTTTTCCTCAGGACTGTCATCCAAATAACACATGATCAGGGAGATTTCTCAACAGAACATGAGCCCAGAAGAGAAGACAGTTTTCCAGGAATATTTGACAAAGCAGGGGACTATAGTAAAGCCCTATTACTGGCAGACACCAAACTCAAACTGTGCTAAATGTCCCTATCATATACGGACAGGTGACGAAGCTCGAGTCTCTTATGCAGAATTCCACAGGGCCTTTGGATTCCCATACAGGGCAACAAGCTTCCAAAACAAACACCTTCTATTCTACRAGTTGGGGCTCTTCTCGGGCACATTAATCCAAAAAGGCCATGCTACCAATTGCACTGACCAAGATAATCATCCAGAATCTATGTTATTTGAGGCAGGAGGTTATCTGGATGCAGTTACTTATACCTACAGAGACATTGACTACATTATCCTCTATTCAAACTATTCTCCTTGTAATGAGGCTGACCACTACTGCATAGGTAAAATCTACAGTTTCCTGATGAAATACCCAGAAATCACCCTCTGCATCTATTGCTCTAAGCTTTATCACACCGAGAACAGTCTCCCCACTGCTACGTGGAACCATGAAGCTTTACAAAGCCTTTCCAGCTTATGGCCACGTGTGAATCTACATCTACTGTGTGGAGGAATACGGCATTACCTCCTCTGCAATTTTGTGTGTGGCATCCCAGGGTCAACCCTTTATCATCTGGCTTTGCCATCAAGAACCTTACGAGATCAACTAAATTCACATCAAATTAATAACTTTAGAGGAATCAAACCATATTTTAAGGTCGCATTTCCACAAACAACGCATGGCAAGCCTGCTCTACAAGAAAATTTAAAGATCTTTTCTTCTAAACCAGCCTTCAAACAGCAGATGAAAGGCAGTTTGCCACCTCTGGTGTCTCAAAGCCACTTGGTACTTTTCTCAGGCAGGTTTCCACCCATTCAGAAGGAACGGCTGTATTTCAAACCTAAAAATATTGTAAGGCATTTAAAAATGCCAAATGAATGACTAAATGAAACTCATAATTCTGAGATGTTTCCAAAAGGCAGAAACCTATTACSAAGATGATATAAATCAAACAACTTCCAGGCTGTAAAATTAAGATTACAAATGACAAAAAGGCACTAAGGTTACCACAGTAGAACTACAAAACTCAAATAATTGATTATGAATATAACAACTTTACTTTTAATTTTACTTAACTTTTMATCAGTCCTATGTCTTTTAAATATAAATAAACCTATATCAACAACAAAAACTCACCATCTTCTTATTATTTCCCATGATAAATGTGATAAATTTGTTGYTAAGCTAATTTTTACTGAAAAAATATCAACAGTGTAAAAGCTACAAGCACAACTACAACTTCTGGCTGTAGCTTCAAATGGGGCAACATTGATGAAAAGCATAAAGCACCCTCAATTCCTCAATAGGAAAGCAGATAAAATGCAATATGCGTATACTTAGCTACAAAAATAATAAAGTGGAATATATTACATTCACTGCTTTCATCATATTTTCTAAGAAAAATTTCCTGAAAGATGTTATGTTGTTCCTACCTGAGTTACTAGTACTTTTGAGCTAACACTCGAAACCCAGAGAACAGTGTGCATTGTAACATTTGGTTTCCCAAGGAATTTATAAAGCTAATCTTATTTTCTTATTTTCTTACATATTTTCTTAGCAGTAGCAAGGTGCTTTGGGGGTTTCCATTATGAAATTGAGAATAAAAAATAAAAAAATCTCACCTTCACCTGCCTAACCCCATCTCCCTGCCCTCTCCGATCGTACCCGCCTGCCGAGAAGAAGCCAGCTGATTTTCCAGGACTCAAGCTCGGTGGCGGGAGGGCGGGCGGCCGGCGCTCGCCCTTCTCCTCGGGRGGACCGTAACGTAACGGCCGCCGTGTGGCGCGAGCGGAATAACGGTCGCTCCGCGCGCCACGTTACCATGGCGACTGCTCCCCCCACCTGCAGCAGCGTGCGGCTGCACGTGACCCGCCGCGGCCGGCCAATGGCGGGAGCGCAGGCGGCGCGGCGCTCGGCGCGTGCGCAGAGCGCATGCGGCGGCGGACGGGCGCGGTGCGCGTGCGCGGGCGGCGGCGAGCGAGGGGAGGCGGCGGCGGCCCAGCGGCCATGGCGAAGCACACGGTGTCCTCGGCGCGTTTCCGCCGCGTGGACGTGGACGAGTACGACGAGAACAAGTTCGTGGACGAGGAGGACGGCGGCGACGGGCAGGCGGGGCCCGACGAGGGCGAGGTGGACTCGTGCCTGCGACAATATCCTTCCTTCCGCCGGCGGCGGGGGTGGGGGGAGGGCGGCGCGGGCCCCGCCGGGTTGCGCGGCGGCGCCGTCGCTGCTGTCTTGGCCCTTAACCGGCCCGCAGGGGGAACATGATGGCGGCGCTGCAGGCGGCCCTCAAGAACCCCCCCATCAACACCAAGAACCAGGCGGTGAAGGTGAGGCCGGCGCTGCCCCGTAGCTGGGGCGGGGAGGCGCTGCGGCAGCCGCGGTGGCGAGGGGAGAGCGGGGCCTCCGTGCCGCTGACAGCGCAGCTCGGCCCGCGGACAGCCCCGCTTCGCGGCGGCTTGCTGGGCCCGCCGGGCTTGAGTGCCGCACGCAGCCTGCGCCCGGGCCCCTGCGGAGCGTGGAGCGCGGGAGGCGGCAGCGGGGAGCGGCGGGCAGGAGTCGGGAACCGCGGCTCGAGCAGCGAGCGCTGGCCAGCGCCGCCCCGCCGGGCCGCACGCCTACAAAAAAGGAAGAAAGGGAAGCAAGCCGCGATCGTGACTGCAGCGGTGCGGGCGCAGCAAGCGCGAGCCCTGCCCCTGCGCCAGGCGCGCACGAGCGGCAGAGAGGCGCCCGCTTAAACCGCGGCCCAGCAGCACGCAGCTAACGGGGGAGCTGCCCCGCGCCAGGGCGGCTGCGGCCATCCACGCCTGGTACCTACCCTTACAGCACTGCTGTAGGTTCCCAGACGTTGGGTGCTGCTATGAAAAACAAGTGTTATTTAGTCCTATAATAGGTAGATACTTGCAAACATAAGCAAAGGCAGGGAACCTGGAAAACAGCAAACTTATTAAACTCTTTCATGTTTCTGCTGGGGCTAGCCTCAGGGTTAAGTAGTTGTAGGCTGATTAAGCATTTGTAGGCTGAACTTAAGTCACTTGAATTAAAATATATATTCAAGATATATCCAATATATATCCAACTTATCTCCAGATCTAGAATTGTACGTATTTGGCAAAGTTAATTAGATGATACTCTTGTGGAATAAGGTTTCCCCTATACATTATGAGTACAAGCTTGATGTTCAAACTACATCCTACTTTTTTTTTCCAAAAAGTGTTTTAGAATTGTTAAAAGAGAAAAAGAATTCTACTTCAAGAGATGACTAATAGGTCATAATAGTGACTATAATAATGACATAATAATAACTATAGGGTGCACCCTATATGGGAATGAATGGATTTTCCTAACTTACTTTTTCACAGGATCGTGCAGAAAGTATYGTCCTGAAGGTCCTCATCTCTTTCAAAGCCAATGACATTGAAAAGGCAGTGCAGTCACTGGACAAGAACGGCGTTGATCTGCTAATGAAATACATCTACAAGGGCTTYGAGAGCCCTTCTGACAACAGCAGCGCTGTGTTGCTGCAGTGGCATGAGAAGGTGCGTTGACAAGACCTGCACTCTCTTGCTTGGGTTATTCTTAGTAGCAGATTTTGGGACTGGGGCGTGCTCATTGAGCCTGCTTAAAATGATCTTTCTGTTTGGGGAAGCTGAAATGCTGTATTTCACACGGGTTAAAGGGTATGGTCCTTGCAGGTTCACCACTGAATTATATCTCTTATGCTTTTGATTTCTTGGGTAAAGATTATCCAGTTAACATTTGATTTTATGTTAGACTGAGTTAAATGAAATAGCTTGCTCTAGTGATTAAAGCAGATAGAAGTAGAATTTCCTTCCTAGAGGGAAGCAAAATTTACAACATAGTTATGCAGGAAATGGAAGCCTGTCAAGGTGAATGTGGTTATACTTCCCCAGCACCTTGGATGCTGGTTTTGCACTTTACATAAAGTGCTGGGAGCTGGTTATTTGAAATAGGGCCTGGAACCTGGAAGTCTCTACTATCAGGCAGTTGCTTCAGCCTGTACTTACCTTGACTTTGTGTTAATTGCCATATTTCTCTTCTCAGGCCCTGGCTGCTGGAGGAGTAGGTTCCATTGTCCGTGTTTTGACTGCCAGAAAAACGGTTTAAGTCCAGCAAGAAATGGTTGTCTGTCACCCATAGCTGTGGGAAACGCTGGTACAAAAACCAACCAACCAAATGCCATTGCTGCCCTGTGGGCAGCTTCTGTCTCTCAGCTTGCCTTCTTGCTGCTTCTTTCATATCTGAAAAATAATGCATATCTTGATCTCTTTTTGTTGAACTCTGGAAAATTATGAAGGTGCAATTTTATTTCTAACAGGAATATTTGGTACTCAAGAGCATTTCAGTGACATGAATAGCTACATACACAACTTCATGTTTAGGACAATTTGCATTTGTGTATAATTGTGGCAGATTTGGACCTCACTTTCCAAATGCTGAAGGACGTAGGACAGTGTCTTAATTCTTTTTGCTATCCAAGCAGTGTTTTGATGTAAGATATATATTTGAGAAGTGGAGCAGCTATTGCTATAAGTAACTGGACCATGTTTCTCTTGGTCAACCTCTGAACCTACAGCAGTGAATAGTACAGAAGGTAAAGGCTCCCCTTCAGATGATTATCATTCCAGAAAGATGAGTATTTTTTTTTTAAATCTTGTATCTCATGACCTAGTCTGGTTTCTTGTCATCAGTGAAATGCTAAGTCCACTGTTGGAAAGTCTCAATTTGGATTAAATTGTCTGTTGTGCAATTTGGATGGCAAAATTTAAAAAGCTGATGGGCTGTCTACACTAGAGCCTAGTCCTGTGAACTCTTCGTTTTGCAGAACAAAGATTCTGATGAGGAAAAGGAAAGAGAGCTTTCACACAAATCACCTTTCAGCAGCTTGAAGGTGATTTGGTTTTGTCAAGCACAACATAATGGCTGCCTGTGGTAATCAAAAAAAAATCATACTAGCACCTGCACCATCCTTTGCAAAGCTCCCATCTTTTATTTTCCAGATATATAGGGCCTTAAAGGATCCCCAAAAAGTTTACATTCCTGTTGTATTTTACCACAGTGTGTTAGCTAGTGGGCAGATTAAGTCCCAGCGTAGTGAGGAGTATTTTAAAAAGAATTAAGCAAGCCTAGGGCATCCCAGACCACAGATCACCTTTGAATGTTTAGGGCCAGGGCTTAAATACACTTGTTTTACATTCACCATTTTACAGCAATTCAGTTGTGTAAAACTGTTGGGAAACTTGTGAAATCTTTGCTGTTTTTTGATATCTGCTTTTTTTGTAATAATAATAAAGACCAGACAATAAATTGTCACTGAATATTTACTTAGCATCTGAAATGTCTGGAKAGTTGGAAAAGTGTGGGAATAACTTGTTTAGTCCAGTATGGTGCTTTACAAGGACTAGCAAATGAAAAAAACAGCCCCTAAAATCCTATTTTCCCCTCAATTTTCATAATAACCCAACTTCACAATTATTTGTACTTGTACATCCAGTTAGAAAGTTTGAGATTTTGGTTAGATAAGCAAATAACAAGCACTATTCTAAACCAAGTTCCTCTGCTTACACTAAAATACAAGTTGGGGGAGCACGTGTTAAAGGTTTTGCCGAAACAGGCACRGGAAGCCCAAACAGTAGCGGGGGCTAGCAGGGCTGCCACAGGGAGCTAAGCTGCTGCATTCATAGCAGGGATGGTTGGTCTCYTGCCCACCCCAGCTCCAAGTGATGAAACACTTAATTGTTGTTTGCRCTGTAATTACTGGCAGAGCCCTGGGCTTGGCCCAGCAGTAGGATGGCTCTGTCAAACGTCACTGCTGCTGACACACAACGGTGCTAGAGCCTCTGCATGGCCCAGGCCCACGGACACGCAGGCCGAGTGCTCTGGCAGCTGAGGGCTCTTCCATGTCAGTCACATCTGAAAGACTCGACTGCAGCAGGCGCTGGACACACACTGCCCTTGCTCCAAAGACCAAAGGAAGTATCCAGGTTTCAAACATATCTATAGGAAGAATGACTTAAGACACTGATCTATTCCTATTTCTAAAAAAGGAAATTATGTAATCCTAGCTACTTGAAAAACATTTTCTAAATTATCCTTTTTCAAAGCAGACCAGCTACCTCTAGGTGGCATTAGATAAACAAAAGCTAGGAGCAGACATCACCAAATTCCCCTAAGAGTAATATATAAAGTATTTGGAGACATTAATAATGAACATGTGTCCTCTGCATATAATTGCAGGGATGCGTTCAAAGACAGCTTTGGTCAAACATCAGTGCAAGGGCAGTAAAGATGCAAGACTTGCAGGAAGGCCCCTCTTTCATTAAACTGATTGATACGATGTTAAAAAGCAAATCTAATAAAAAATTATCTCCTTATTACAAGTCCTGCATGCTAGTGGTTCTTGGACACATAAATACCACAACACAGAACATGCAATGAAGGAGCATAACAACAATCTGTGTWTCACCAACACCACCTCCTTAGGTAGGCTTCAGAAAAGCCCACATAGGTGTTTATAGAAGCTATAGAATAGGGGCTCTTAGGTTCAGAAAGCCCACATATATGCACTATTTCACTGAAAGACATTGCTGGCCCCACAAACACACTGGAAGTCCAGCAGATTAGACTGAACTTTGGAAGAGCCTGTGAGAAGCCAATGGCAAAAATAAAATCTGCATCCTCTGAGCAACCCCAGAGTAATGCTGGCTGTAACAAAAATGTTCCCACAACCAAGTGGGAGCAGCAACTATTAATAAGCACGTTGTGCCCATCACGCTCACGTCACTCGAGGTGATTCACACTTGCCTCATCCACTCCCATCAGCTGCGGGCTGCAGGGGCAGCATTACTGTCCTCAGACACCAACTGTGCTGCACGAGGCACGTGTTCCCAGCGCCCTGCCGAGAAGGGCAGTGGAGCCCCGCGGAGACTGGGGCAGCTTCCTTTGGTACAGAAGCTACTTCTCCCTAGTAGTAAAAGAATATGTCTGTTTCTTGTGCAGTGTGAAGCCTTCCTGAGACAAACATCATGCACTGCAAAGTGTTTGCCCAGCGCAGATACGGGYTCCAGGGCTGCCCTGCTCCCAAGTGGAGCGCGCATGGGAGCSTCCATGCTCACTCAGGGACGGGAGCCCCAGCGCTCACTCATGGCACGCGAAACCGATGCCAARAGAAAGCAACAGGACAGGGAGGGCGGGTGAAAGAGCAGCAGAGCGTAAGAGCAAGGAGAAGAGTAAAGTTCCAACCAGAGCTTTACCAGGGACCATCTCCACACAGCTGGCCAAGGGCACCCAGGCAGCAGTAACAGAAAAAGGTGACACGTGTTACAAACAAATTTAACAAAGACCRGGATATGTGGCAAAGTGGGTGGGAGAGGGTGAGAAAGAAAACATTTTCCATTGTGCAAAAGGCATTTCCCTTCCTCTAATTAAAAAGGAAACCTTCAAGGAAAACTACTCTCCATACAGATCAGACCTTCTCCACAGGAGATAGCATTTGTAGGGCTCTTCTAGGAACTGCAAACTTCTCACTGCTGCTTTCAGGTTTGGCCTAAGCCTGTCATAACAGCACTTTGTAACTTAGTCACTTCCCAGTTTTGCAATAGCTAAAAGCTGAATGCTTAAGGAGAAACTGCTGCCCTGCCACCGCGATGAGATACCGGCTGGCCTCTCCTGCCTCACCAGCTCCTGCATTTGACTCATCCATCATCTGGCCACACATTTCTGTGGTCTCTGCCACTATTTAGGGAGTGACACASCAAATAAGGTCCCACACACCCAGCTGAGCTGCAGCCACAGAGCAGACCAGCCCCTGGGGAAGGAGTTGCACATGCCCAGCTCTTCCATTCCTCCTGTGGTAAATCTCAGCAAGCTCATTTCCCCGAGAATTAACATGTTTCAGTGCCCTGATTATTTTTTTTTTCTCCTTCCCAGACTCTCTCTAGAAATTCTGATACATTCTTGCATACAGTTACTGTACCAACTTAAAAGCCACTTGTGCATTCTGTCTGGATCTCCACATATTTTTCTCTCTGAGAGCTCCCTGTGCAAGATTCCAGGAATCTCACACAGGAGATGTTACCATCTATATTATCTATTTCTGTTCAGAAATTAACACAGAAGAAGCATTTGCCTAATAAGCAAAGTGGCAAGAGAAAGGGGAACAGAGACTCATTGCGTTTCTGGAAGGGATGTGTTTATCACAACTCTGAGATACTTTGAACACTTCTTATACGTTATATAACTAGCAGCCCGCTAGTTATATAYCTATACCTAGCAACCTATATACCTAACGACTAGTCTGTTGTTAGGTGCATTAGCTGTGCCTGCAACTTTCAGAGGCCATCTCCTTTCTGGGCAATACAAGAAAACCACGCTCATTTGGTTCAAGTTATAGAATTACAGCATTGGTACCTGCAGCTGCACTTCATCTGAACAAGGGTTATTAGTCACATGTTATAACACAGAACATTTAGGAACAGGACTTAAAACTACTTTTTACATTATCGGTGCACCAATCTGATGATCAGCTGTTGCCATTAGGGTGGTCTTCCATCCACCTCCTTTTACCATTGTTGGGATTTACCAGCAAGATCATTTGGAATAAAGTGGATGTTCTTCTGCTAGATGACACCTCCATGGCAGCAGTAGGATGGCAAAAAGACCAACCCACACAACAGCCATGAGGTCAGGTTAGCACGAGCCCCAATCTCTGTCCTAAAGAGCTCAACAGATGCACGAGGCCAATGCTACGTGGGGAAAGAGACGAAGGAGGGAGAAGTGACATGCAGCAGGTCATATGGCCAAGAAGAATGAGCTGTCCCAAGTCCCAGTGTGGTGTCCTTTGGGTCATGTGTAAACCCTTCAGCTACACAAGTCATCACCTGTCCAGCRTCTAAAGCCTAGAGGTGAAAGGTTTCCTGCTTCTAAGCATTGGAATGTCCCTTTGGAACAACAAACGTCCTTGGCTTCTAAGTGAGTCTCTTTCAAAAGAGTAAGAAAGGGCTTCTCAGCAGGGTATGCTCACACTCACAGATTYGGCATCTGCATCCCTCTCCCTTCCAGAGGTTGTGTCACCCTGGGCCCTTCCAGAGGTGGCAGCTGCTGCATCTCCTCCATGTTGTCCGTCTCTGCTGTGAGAAGCCGGCTGGGCACAGAGGGAGGTCGAGGGTGTGCTCAGCTTGCGAAGAGCCTGGGGTGCAGGGATGTGCCCCGGCACCCTGTCAAGGGGAATGCAGCCCTTTCCTTCAGCACCTCTGGCTTCTTCCCACTCTCCAAGCAGAAGACAAGAAGAGTCTCTTCTGTTGTTGGTGTTATCTAGTCTGAGGGGGAAATTAAGGTAATAAACTGACTGCACAAAACCTAACACAAAAAGGTGGAAGATGCATMGGGGTTTTCCAGGCAGCCTGTGTGCATTCAGTGCGCTTGGTTTCACCTTGTCCCTGGGGAAGGCAGGAGGACACCTGCAAGGCTGCAGGCAGCCATCCCAGCAGAGTGACAGCTTCAGAAACACTTAAAGCCATTGAGTGCCTTCCCTCCCTAGAGGCCACGTTCTGGGAAGCCCAGCCTGGACCCAGCCAGCCTGAAGTGGACCTGAAAAATCACCCTGCTGGCCAACTCCCCAGCTTTCCATCACAAACTCCAAGGAGTGAGACCCAGAGCACATGAGCACCAGCCTTGGCTCCACTTCCCCATCTCCGGGCCACGTCCGCCGCCCCCGTGCGAGGCTGCTTCCTGCAGGGTTTGCGACACAGCTGCCACCACCGGCAACAAATGCAGAAGTGCTGCTGCCAGAGGCAGCCAGGGAGAGGCCGGGCAGCCGTGGGAAGCACGGGCAGAGACCCCGAGACGGCCAGCACCACATCCCACCATGTCGCTGGTGGAGACGATCCGGCTCTGGAACGAGGGGGTGTGCGCAGCCGACCAGCGGGAGTGGAGGGCGGCCCTCGCCACCTTCACCTCTGTCCACAACCCTCCTTCCAAACTCTGCTTCAACATCGGCTGCATCCAGCTCATTCTGGGGAACCTGCCCGAGGCAGAGAAGGTGGGTAACGGCTCGTGGGCACCCTTTTGCTGGTGCCTTTTGCAGGCAGCGCAGAGCAACGCRGAGTGTATGCGCAGACCTGCCGAGCAGGCCGATGGGTGGGAAGGGGAGGAACGAAGGATCACAGTCCAAAGCAAGAATCTGGGGCTTCTGAAAATCCAGCTGAAACACGACGCCGCGGGGCATTCTTGCTGCACTTATTTTATCAGTGAATCACAGATGAGAGGCAAGGGAGACGCGCATCCCTCCCAGGGGAGGATGCTGAGGTACAAAGCTGCCCAGTTGACTGGTGACACCTGGTTGCGGCTCCAGGAAGTCCCAGGTTGGGCAGCATGCAAATAAAGCAGAGGGGCAAACAGGGCAAGTACTTCTGTCCTACCTCCTCATCTTTCCTTAAGGYACTTGCCTTCTTACCTTTCTCCATTCCTTCTCCCTCCTTTCAGGCGTTCACGCAGAGCATCTGCTGTGACAAGCACTTGGCCGTCGCCTATTTCCAACGGGGGATAGTGTTTTACAAGCAAGAGAAGTGAGTGGAGGGCACTGGATGGGTTGAAGGTTTAATTTTGTGCCACTTACAGAGACAGCAGCCCAATACTTGGAAACCCAAGGGATACCTCTAAGCCACATTGGGAGGTCTGAAAACACTCCAAAGACTTTAGAGAGACCCATATGAGTTTAATTGATTTTTGTAAAGACTCAGTGGCAAGGTCTGCAGGTGTGAGGTCTTCAGCTCACACCAAGACACCCTGTAAAGTGCTTCTGGACTAGAACTTCCCAGAACAACCATAGGTAGATAACACRAGCAGTAACAGAATGTGTCCTGACTCCAGCCTAAACAGGGGGTGGGAGGTTGGTAGCAGTGCTGGAAGGCCTGGAAAACAAGTCCCTCCCCTACAGAAAAGGGGCACTGGAAGAGCCTGGGGCCTTCAAAACAAAGACATAGGATCATAACTCCTAAAGCCTTGCCTTAAAAGGGCTCTTAAAGGATAAAAGGTTTCTGGTATTTTCAGACACGCAATGACTCAGGTCTGGGTGAGGTGCCCTTGAGGGCAYCAGTCAGTGGTGGTGAAGACCTCCTAAGTTACTGTTTCCTTTGCTCCACAGTCATGAAATGGCCATGAAGGATTTTGCAGAGGCATTGGCCCAACTGCGAGGCAACCAGCTCATAGACTACAAGATCCTGGGGCTRCGGTACAGGCTGTTTGCTTGCGAGGTGAGGGGGAGACCAGCGTTGTGCTCGTAATGGGCACAGACCTTACCAGGGGTGGCCACGCTGCTCTCAGCTGCCAGCGCAGTGCCAGAAGGCACAAACTCCTGATTACCTATATGGAAGCAGCATTTGGCCTACATAGAAAGGGCTGTCTACCAGGTCATTAAAAAAAGAAAAATTTAGGGGGAAAAAATCTAGGAAAAAAAAAAAAAATCTGTGTTCAAACCCTAAGTATACAAGTTGGCACTGATGGGGAGTCAGTGTTGCCACAGAAAGCTATTAGTGTGGCAAAAAGCCTCAACAGCATCAGAGAAACTTTGCAAAGGGAAGCAAGATAAAGATCTCAAATTATTTTGCTCATAGTCTTTAAAAGGGACTTGCTCGTCACTCTGCTTTGGCCAGGGAGGCCAGATAAATCCTGCCACAGCGCTTGGAAGCACACGCACTGTGCGGTGCCATCTGCTCTGGTGGCTTCTCCTGTAAGGTGCTCCTGGCAAGGGCCCAGCTCTTTGAATAACTGATTTCCTTGTTTCTAACCCTCCTGCAGATACTTTATAACATAGCACTGGTGTACGCCACAATGCAGGACTGGAAGAAAGCAGAGGAGCATCTGACCCTGGCAATGAGCATGAAGAGTGAGCCCCAGCACAACAAGATTGACAAGGCAATGGAAGCTATCCTGGTAAGAAACMGGAGGTCTTGACATGGTATTTGTCCAGGACAGTCCTACAGGAGGGAGAGAAAATCTTAYGAATAGAGAAGCCATTCCTTAGCAAGGGGTTTAGCAGAGAAGTGAAGATGGCTACACAGAACATGGGTGTCAAACTGAGGGTAGGACTTGCAGGGAGAGTTTTCAGGCAGTGGTGGGAAGACTGGTCTAAGCAGCCYATGTGAGGGCTGGAGTCAGACTGCCAAGGTCGTGGGTTGATTTTACAGAGCAAGACTATAACCACTATGGTTTCTGTGTGGTACAGAAGCAGAAGCTCTATGAGATGGTGACAGTTCCCATGGGCAAGCTGTTTCGGCCAAATGAAAAGCAAGTGGCTCAACTGGAAAAGAAGGACTACCTAGGAAAGGCTACGGTAAGAAAGAAATACCTAATCTATTCAAGTCRAGACTGTGGGCTGAAGAGAGCCACTGACCTCCCTTTGCTTAAAGGCCATCACTTGGTGATCTGCTATCCCCTGCCTGCTGAGCAGGGCAGGGATACAGGGCTGGCCCTGGGGATCCCCACAGGGATGGGAGGAGGGATGATATGGGAACCTCACAGGGAACTGGGACTCTGCAAGAAATGAGGAGATAAAATTCTATATCTAATATTTCTACAGAACCTTATCTGTACAGCTCAGCGTTGCCTATTTCAGTTTCTCTCATTAGTCAGACATGAGGCACAGTCATTCAGCAATGAGCTGGAAAAGTCTCATTGGAGTTTGAACTTGAACCAAGACTCTGTTCAAGGGCAGGAGAAGAGGGTGGAGTTCAAGCTATTTAAAAATCTGACACTCACAAGTGGCCTCTAGCTCTTTAACTGCTTAGTCTGAGAAAGGTTTTTCAGCTTCAACTAGAGAAATAAAAATAAAACTCAAGCAAGTTTTTCTCCCCTTAGCATACAAAATCCAAGCCCTGGGACACCATCCTTTGATGCAGGTCCTAGGAGGCAGAATGACGCCCTTGTTGTCAGGTTTCCTGCAGGAGGCCAACTACAGATCTATGGGTACCGGACTACCAGGTGACCAACAACTCAGAAGCTCCCCTTGACTTCACTCAAGGGTTCCCTTTTGACATGCACACAAACGTTTTGAACATTTTAAACAATGTTTGAATGGCCTATAGAAGGCAAGGGCTCCTTAAACCCCCTTGACATTGCCAGTTAAAAGGAAATCTCTTTTATGTTAACTCTAATGCAGTAGGGGCGAGGCTAAGAATTCACCACAACTTCGTGGTAGGCTTTGGAGCTCTGAAGCACCAGGTCAATTGTCAAAGATGCTTACCTGAAATCATCGACCCTACCTTGATCCTGAAGCATTCATACCCAAGGAGCTAGGCTTACACGACACCAAAGGAGGGCCAGCATCAGACAACAGGGTGTCCAAAATACACTACAAGCACCAAATCATTATGTGTCTGTCTTTGGCTCTAGGTGGTAGCATCTGTGGTGGACAAGGACAGTTTTTCAGGATTCGCTCCGCTTCAGCCCCAGGTAAGGCACCACTGACTGACACAACACTGTYGTCAGTGCGGCAGCCGGCACAGTGCGGGGCCCAGGTGCGCACAGGGACCGTCTYGTGCAGCATCTTGATGGGGGCTCCTGCTCGCAGGCCGCAGCGTTGCCACCACAAACTTTCTGCTCCTGCCCTGGGTAGATGGACACACGRGCCCACAGCTCAGCTGCTCTGCTCATCATCCAGCACCACAGCCCAAACTCACTTGACGTTTGTGGCTTAAGCTAAAGCTGCCCTTGATGGAGAAGCAGAGGCCTGGTTGTGCATCCCGTTTCTCTGTCTCTGCTGTGGCTTGCAGCTTGCCATGCAGGGGAGGAGATCTTACACCCTCCCTGTAAGATTTGGTAGGATTCACCGGCCTAACACCTGAATCACGAGAGGGGCAAAAGGGCTTCTGCTTTTGTTCACCACCTTTGTTTCTTCTACTTGCCCYGGTTCATAGATCTCTCTGCATTTTCATTGTCGTTTTATTGACGCAATCTAAACATCTGTTCTRCTTCTAAAGGCACCAGAGAGGGGTTTTTCTTTACTAGTCTTTTGGGAAGGTGCAGGGAACTGTAGCCGCTGCAGGTCTGTAACTGTTATGCAAGGTTAAACAGACGCTTCTCAATCAAGTAGGGTGTTAACACCTTGCTCTAGGAGTCAGAACTGCCATCCCACTTCAGTAAAAACTTCTTCAGAGAGGTGATAAAATCCACAAGAAATCTCAGATTTCTAAGGCAGGCGAGACTGTGAAGTACTAGGGCGGCAGCTGGGGTTTTATAACAATAAGAACATACATGGCAATATAAAACTACTACTGTTTAAACCAAGTGCTTTCAATTTCATGATCTCAACCCTTTGTGAATGCATGAAACCAAAAGTGCACAGCCTCATGACTGAAAATCGCAAGTGGAAGTGCTCAGAAAGTGCACCTTCAAAAGACCAGAACCAGTGAGAGTGTGAACAGCACAAAAGGCAGCTGCTGCTGCACACATGTGAGTGGCAGCAAGCCAACCTTACACTGACAGTCTGTAAAGCAGCAAAAGACCCTCCCTCAGGTTTGAATTATCAGACCTGAAAAACAGCACAGGAAGAAGTAACCATGTAGAGATGATGTCAGTCAGGCATGGTAGAAAACTGCAGCAACTCAAATTCTTCRGATTACAGACAATTTTCTTTTTCCTCCCAGGCCTCCGGTCCTCCACCCAGGCCCAAGACACCAGAAATCCTCAGGTAAGCTGGATGAAACATAGGCAGTGTTGTGGATACAGGCAGCCAGGTCCAGCCCTGTCCTGCACCACCACAGGCTGAGTCCAGCCAACACTCAAACCTAAGGTGGGAAGGGGAATGGATCAGGAAAACAACAAAACAGGTCCAAGCTTCCAGTGGAAAATTAAGAAAATGTATYGTTTCCCTCCCTAAAACCACACCTTCCACCCTAGGGCCCTTGAAGGACAACCACACCGCGTCCTGTATGAGTTCATCCCCGAGACCTCTGAGGAGCTGCAGGTCCTGCCAGGAAACATTGTCTTTGTCCTGAAGAAAGAAAAGGACAACTGGGCAACTGTGATGTTCAACGGAAAGGTACCAGAGACACACTTGACACAGGGGGTGGACAATGAGGCTGACACCTTGTTAGAGCTGCAAGGTTCTGCAGATGAAGAGCAGGGCATAGCTGTGCTATCACCAGCTGGAAGAGTTTCTGCCTCAGCTCCACTGTGTTCCCTGCTCAAACCCAGACAGGTGCCTTTGGGCTTGTTAAGAGGCAATCTCTGCTCCTTAGGAGAGCTGAGAATAACCGACCAGCAAAGCCCAACCACTGCCCAGGTAGCCTCCAGCCCAAAGACATTCTGCTCYATTTGCATGATCATCCCCACTTGAGTGAAGCACCTCAGAGCGGGGTCACCCATCTTCTCATATACCACATTGAGAACTTACTCCTTTGTCTTAGATCTCTTGGATGATCTAGTAAAGTTACTCATTTCATTTGCCAATTCTTACTCAACCCCCGTATGGCTTAGGAYACAGGATTCAAAGAATCCATCCAATCCGCATCAACCAACCTTTACGCTTCAGGCACTCTCCTGGTTCAAAGCAGGGCAAGAACAAGCTCAGGTGCTTCCTCCAGCAGCAAGTTGCCTCCTGCCAAGCAATGCCCATTCATCTCTGCTTCCCCACAGAAAGGGATTGTCCCCTGCAACTACCTCGAGCCTGTGGAGCTCCAGAACAGGCTGCATATCCAGGTAAGATCACCCAGGATAAAGATGGCCTCCAGGGGAGGGAATACCCTCATGCAAATCACCCACCACCTATTTCGTACCTTCCAACATCCCCGGCACGCAGGGGTTTCTTTACAAGCACCTGCAACTGCCTCTTCCTCGAAACTCCAGAGGAATCTCCTGCTTGGCAGCCCTCTTACCTGGAATTCACACCTGTCCAACCTGGGCAGATATTGTGCTCACGGTGCCTTGGGTAGGTGAGAGTAAGTAGTGGAGAGGAGTAGTGAACACTCCCTCTTCAGTTCAAGGCCCCAAAGAGACCTTAGGGAAATAGCCAGGAACAACTCAAGCACACACAGGATAATGATCTTCCTGGCTAGGGCTAAAATTACTCTGAACAACAGATCCCCCCCGCAGGGCAGCAATGCCTCCTGCTTCCTCAGGCAGGGCTGACTGACAACACTCTCTTCCCATCCTGCACAGGAAGAAATCCCTTCTGAATCTGAGATCCCAGAGCCACCAAGCTCCAGCGCTCCAGAAAAACCCCGTCGTCCAGCACCAGGTCAGTGACGGGGAGCTGAAGGGACACGAGTACCTTGTGGGCAACCCCACCCTGGGGGCAGCTTTGAAACATTTCCTCACTGCTGCTTCCTTCTGCTTTTTTCCCATCTGCTGAGATGAGGGCTGGGACCCATCTCCATTGACTTTCTGGCCCTCTTGACCCATTTGCTCCATCCCAAAGATGGAGAGACACAACCTGCAACTGCAGTGCTGAGGGTGGAGTAAAAGATATGGCCCAGAYGCCAGGGGAAAGCAAGTTCCTTAATGCTTTTAACTAGCACAGCAACTAACGGACAAAAAAGGCTGGGGACAGAAAGAGGGCAAGTGACCCAGCTGGTGCAAGAGCCCAAGCAGGAAGTTCATGACAAGCTTCTCCTCACCTGGGATTAACGCTGCTCTGTGTTGTGACAGTTTTGAAGGTGCTGCAAGGGCCCAGGGAAGGGGGTTCCGGGCTGAGGCCCTGAGGCCCAGGACATTCCCTGCAGCAGGGACACCTGCACCAAAGCCACCCAACTGCCAAGGGGCAGGCTGGCATGGAGCACCTGTRGGAACCTTTAATCATCTGGAGGAGGGGTAGACCTTCCGCCTCCCACAAAGTGAAGATTTAATTTTGAGACATTTGGTTTTTTTTTTCCATTAGATCTCAGTCAATACCTATAAAATTTCAATCTAAATGCTGATCCTTCAGAATTGTGAATGTTTAATTTCCCCCTCACTCTCCTCTAAATATAACAACTACAGTAATCCTGTGGACTGAGCTGCCAATCCCTACAATATAGCCTTCAGAGCAAATGCCTCAAAGACCCAGCAATCTCAAATACCTTTATGGCACCAAAAGCCATCACAGATTTAGCAGCAGGACTATATTGAAAAGCAGAGCTCTGCCCCTTCCCCTAACAAGCACTGCAATGTCAAACCACTAAAAAATTTGAGAGTAGATCCTTGTGGACAGACCAACCAATCTATGTCAATTCATCATAGCTAAGGGCCTTAATTTACATCTGATGTAAAAACCAAGGGTTGCCTCCAGTTTTCAGTGCAAACCTAGAGAGATGAGAACAGCAAAGGTACTAAAAACAGCTTTGCCTTCACTGGTGAGGCGCTTCCAAAGCAAGCTACATTCATGCAGGGTTACTGATGCTCAGCGCCTCAAAAGTCACCTCCCTTCCTCAAGGCTGTACAACAAGCATAAGGAGCATGGGATTCCTAGTCCAAACTCGGCTATTTATCTCCAGCCTCAAGCTCCTGACAGAGAGAGCAAGCAGCACAGCAGACCTCAACCTGTTCTCATCGCTGGAAGCAGGACTCTGCTTTCACCTCAAACATCCCTCCCTAAGACCCAGACTACCAACCAGAGGCTCTTGGCTGCCAGCAGTGCTGGGGTTTGCACYGGCTTTGCAGACTTCCAGCACTGCAGAGAGACATTTCAGAGTTACAGCACAAAAARCTCCTATTTTGTCTGGCTACTTCAATATTTAAGGTTTTTTAGCTGCAAAAATAATTGCATATGGCAGGGCATAATATACTTCACTATTTATACTTGCTAATATCCTTATATTTAAAAAAAAAAAGTCCACCCAGGAACAGCTCATCCCTAAAGCTCCCATCTCCATAGATGCAAAACAGGCTTTACAACATGAAAATCGTTTCAGAGCTTCACTATACTAGGGCAGCTCCCCAGAGGAAAGATAGAGTCCTATTTCCTCTTGATGGTTACTTATAAACCCTATGGATGAATCTCACTACAGTTGATGCCACATCCATTTGAGCAACTGGAGCTGGTTCCAGGTTTAGTGGTTGTCACTGCAAATGATGATGGGTGTCAAAGAGCAGGGCTGGAGGAATTCTGAGCATATACTTATGTACCAAGCTATAATGCTTACCCCATTCCACTCGCTGAGCCACCTATTTCTTCTTCCACAGACTTTGTTCCAGTTACCACAGCACAGCTGAGAGAAGAACCCAAGGTAACACCGTGCATTGCTGTGGGAATCATAGGAAGGCAGATGCCTATAGTCCATATTACAAATCAACATTTATTACATATTGAAGGCAGCTGACCTTTACAAGCTCTGTGGCCTGGGAGCGATTCAGGTCTTTGTCATTCTGCAGCTTCTCTAAGAGGTAACAGGTTGGCAGCCCACCTAAGCCACTAAAGCTGCTTTTAGGGAGGTCTCCTCCAGGTTGTTAGCTTGGTATCATCAGCACTGACCTGCCCAGAAGCGACCAACAGAGATGGTTATCAGGTTAACCCAGAGGGCTCCTGACCAGCAGGCCAGTTTTCACTTCCCAATGCCCTGCAGATGAGATTCTACACAGGTGACAATAGCTTCTGTATCACAGTCACTCAGGTCCCTCTATATGTGCTGGACACACTACCCATGCCCAGGGCTGCAAGCATGGCCAGCCTAGCAAGAGATCCTCTCACATCCTATTTCCTCCCTGCAGGAGGCCAAAGCTGACCCCTACATCCTCAAGGCACATTACAAATTTACAGTTGCTATGCAAGTTAAGCCAGATCTCTCCTACAATGACCTCTTGAACTTGGTCTGCCAGAAACTGGAGCTGCAGCCAGAGCACACGGAGCTGAGGTGAGCCCTGCTGCCAGCGATGGGCCCCTCTGTGCCAAAGGCCCTGTCCTTACTCTGTGTCCTCCATGTGCCCAGGTACAGGTCAGAGAGCGAGGTGCTGGAGACGTTGAGTGCTGAGAACGTGAAGGCAGCTTGGAGTAAAGCCAAGGACAAGTGCCTGACAGTGTGGTGTGACAGCACGGAGGTCAGTGACGGTGGCTGCAGGCACCTCTTCCGCTCGTTCCCAGCGAGGGTCCTCCTGGTGAAGGCTGAGCCCTAAGCAGGAGGCACCCTTGTTCTCCCCGCCAAAGGCACAGGCTTTGGGCTTTCACACAAAACTGACAACTCCTTAAAAGGGCAGGCAGGTGAAGGGGGCCAAAGAAGAGAGGGTTTTTCTTTCCTAGTGAGGTAAAGGAGAAAGCTCAAGAAGCATCTTAACAACTTAATTCCTGCCCTAGGGCAAGGGTTCTCCACCAGAAACCAAACCAGACCAAGAGGCCCAGAAAGCAACGTCAGAAGAGTTGGAACCAATCCAAGTTGTAGCACAGTACGACTACGAAGCCACCCAACCTGAGGACCTGGAGTTTCAGGCAGGAGACGTGATACTTGTTTTATCCAAAGGTAACTGTACTACTGCAGCAAAAGGGGAAAAAAGGGAAGGGTCTTTCAGCTCCAGAAAAGGCCTAGGTCTGCAATGCCAAACACCTGCAGCAGACCCCGTTCTGTTCAACAGCACCTGTAGGTTCTCATCATCTGCCAGTTAGGTCAAAAACTCTCAAGAATATGGGCAGACAACTGACATAGGAGTAGCATTTTTACCCATTTTTCATTGTAGTATACCAGCTTTATTAGGGATGCTGATCTCCTCCCCCAAAAATCTCTTCTTCTCCACAGCAAGGATAATCTCAGAACATACACAGGAATTACTTCTTTTCATGTCCTTTTGGTTTCCAGATTCAKAGATATCAATCTGTTCCCTCTTTGCAAAAGTTTAGCACACAATATACTGGGATGGAAACRGTTTCAGCTTTGCATGCTACTGCAGAAACAGGATTTTCAGCTAATTCTCAGGAGCTACAAGGCAAGCAAGGCTTAAAGCCCGTAGGACTGCTTTCTAGAACTTTCTTCCACCCACTGCTATTAGCACTCGAATACATGCAATAGCTCTTCCAGCTCTACCAGTGTTCCCATTCAAATCTTAAGTGTCATGCATGCCCTTCCTAAGTACGTTCAGCACATCTCTAGTCCTTCCCCAAACAAATTCAAATTTGGAGGGTTTTGCTTGAGCCCTTTTAAGTTTACTGATCAATATTTCTATTTTTAAAATCATGACATGCCTCATTTTGATTACTCTACCTTGCCTCACATTGGAAATTGTTCTGAAATATAACTATTCTTATTAATCAAATTCCTGTCACCTCATACCTTTTCCTGGCTTCTCTTTTTTTTTAGAGGCACAATCTTGCATTAAGCCTTAATCCTCCCAATATTAGGCATCAGTGTTTTTGCGATATTTCAAGTTTAAGTACTAAATTCACAGCAAGGTGTAACATGTGATTTGGCTTTCTTCTTTCAAGTCCGAGCAGAATTGTGTTGCTGCTTCCCTACTGGCTCAAGTCCAAGGGGAAGCTGAGATGTCAGAAYTGGTTTTAAATGCAAGAAGTCAGATACAGGTATATTCAGGATTACACCTAACTTGTGTCCACTGGCAGCACTAAGTAGCTGTACACAAACCATCTTAATTCCTCCTGCCCTGTTGTACAGATGAGTTTTTACACTGCATAGTATTCATAACACCTCCCTCCCAAGATCCTATTCTCTCTTTCATTGCTGAGCCATTATTTACCATTAAAAAGTTGGTTCTCTCTTCTTTTGAAACTGTCAGAGCTTAGAGCTTTACTCAGATGAGAAGGATTTGATGGGTTTTTTTGAGTGGGGAGGGGAGGAATAACAAGAAACAGCAGACGAAACTGCACCTTAGTTCATCTCCATACCTTGGAAATGGTAGTCCAGTCTCATCACTCCTTGCTTGTTCTCTTTAATTCTCTTTAAACATTCCTTGCATGTTCTCTTTAATCCTACCAGTTTATATTCAAGGCAGCTACCAGGTCCAGAATTAGACTTGGACAAGTAACTGCTTTAAGAACCCCAATTCTCAAATTTTCAGCAGGAAAAAAAACCCTGCCTCCTATCGATGAGAATTTTAAAGACTGRACTTTGGGGAATATTTAAAGAAATAAAACCAATACACACTTCACTGTGACCTTGGTTTACATGAAAGCAGTCAGACACTGAAGACAGACATTGGTGTGAGACCCTTCAAACAAAATTCATTTGCCTGCATAAATTATATTGTGTTCCTAAACAGACTTTTGTTCTTTTTTTTTTTTCTGAGAAAGTTACCTAATATATCTTAAAAGACAACCCTAGTCTCTACTGTGGTGTTCCCCTCCTTTAGTTTAGCAGTATTGCCTTTCTTACCTTAACTCTGCTGGCCGCCTCTTTCCTCCTCGCTTTCTCTGCCTCTCATCTCCTCAGTCACCTCTCTACCAGGCTTTACATAGCTATTTAAGTGGCAGAGTATCTTAAAAAYGTAACCAAAGGCTCATCTGCAGCATGTGAAGGTCTGAAGGAACATCTGAAGCACACTCATGTGTATCCCTAGGGTAACAAAAATTGTATAAATTTTCTCTTTCAGTGAATGAAGACTGGCTAGAAGGCCAGTGCAATGGAAAAATAGGCATCTTCCCATCTGCATTCGTTCAGAAGTCTAACACTAAAGACCCTGAAATCTAATCTCAGAAGACCCTGAAATCTAATCTCAGAAGAGGCCTGGACATGGAAAGAAATTACGGATTCAAACTGTTGCAATTAAGATGTTTCTGCATTAACCGCTGCACCTGAAAGTTCCTAAAGTATTTTTGCAATGGGCATTAAAAGCTTTATTTTTTTTGTTTTACCTTTTGCATCATTCTATACATATTCATTCATAAAAATAACACACTAAGTATCTTTGGGAACACATTCAGTTCTAAAAACTGTACTTACCAAGACATTTAGTCCTAAAAACTGTACTTACCACGAGACTTCCTAAGAGCAGCTCTGTCCCACCTACCTCATCCACAACAAAACTTGTGCATGAACAAGTCAGTCACTGGGAGAACTCACAGAAAAGGTAACAATTTGCATTTATAGTGCTGCTGATGGCTAGAGAAGAACAGGCATTCAGGAAGCTCAAGACCAGGAAAAGCTGACCTCCCAACAGAATTTACTTCCTCAAAATTCTGCTGCTGACCCCAAGAGTTTAAACAAAAGGCCTTAGAATAGCCTCTGCTTGCTCTGACAAGTCATTTCAAAACCACCATGACTTTAAAACCATYCCTTACAGTTTCAAAAAAAGTATTTTTTTCTGTAAATATATATACACATATATTCACCTCCCAAGAGGCAGCAAGTTAAAGATGCGAGAACCTGCATTACCTTGGTTTCACCCTCCTCTTCCGCACCCAACAGCTTTTCCCTCCTCTGCCACTGACTGCAGTGGCCTTCTTCCCTGGTACTTCCCCTGCACTGACTGCTGACAGCTGGTTCTCCCGGTCTTTTAAAAATACCTGCACTGTCCTTTCCTTGAGGAGCACTGTCATTACTACCTTCCCCACTTCTGGGCGTAGCATGCACCTTCCAGAAAACCCCATCTTCCCCAGTAGCCTAAATACTAGTATATATTTTAACATGCTTCCTTTCAAGAGCTGCCCAGATAAAAAGCAAATGACATTTCAAAAAGCAGGACATTGCTATAGTTGTCCTAGCTTGCCTTTGACAAAATGTGGAGTATGCCATCTGGGAACCAGCTGCAAAGAGCCAACTAGTGGACACGTCATCCTGATTTACACACAGCTCAAGAGCAGAAGGATCTGCAGCCTCCAACCCCCAAACCCACCCTCAACCAATCTCAAGTAACTCACCCTGCAACTGAGAAACAGCTTTGCAAGTTACTCCTATATCTCAGAGTTTTGCTTCACTACGTAAGCCACATACAGTGGCAGCAGAAGACAACATTCCAGTTATCTGCAATGAATTTGTAAGAGAAACGGGTTTCAAACCTTGTTCTGACTTCTCCAGAAAAATAATGCCTCTTTTTAAGAACCTACAGTTGAGTAACACAGGAAATAAAGGGTACACACAGGCCTGGATGAAGAGAACATGGTTTAATTAAAGGCAAAGCTGATTTCAGCAGCTGCAGTTCTTGCACAGACAGACAAAAAACACAAAAAAAGCTTACGACACAACCCGGTTTCCGTTGGGGTCCCTGACCTCGCTACCCCAGGCGCTGGAGGGCCGGGCGCGTTGGTAGCAGCGGGCGCTCGTGCACGAGGGGAAGGGGGCGGCCGGCGGGACCCGGCTCAACCTGGTTCGCTCGCCTAGGGTGCAAGAGTCRGTGACAGCTCAAACGCCGGAATGTCGCAGCTGCCGGGGGGCACAGCTCAAATACACCAACTGGGAGGGCTGCAGAGAGGTACGGAGGGGTTTGGTTCRTATCACCACTGGGTGGGAACTTCACTGCTTGGATTTGTTTTTGGAGGAAATGCATCCTAGAAATGCRGCATAGAACGGTGATGTTGCAATAATGGAGAACGTCGGGGAGCTGCTCATACCCTGGAAAGGGTAGCAGGTCTCCGTCTTCCCTTCTTATATTCTTTGAGGGTGCCCCAACTCCAGTGTCATTAGGCTCCTGCATGTGCTTTGCTCTGCAGCCTCTTTGTGACTCAGAGCTCCTGAACTATCACACAAACCCCTACTGCTAAAGACAGCAATCAGACATGGAGATCATTTCCATAACTTCCCTGGGAAACCTAACAGAAATGCTGCCCTCTAATGAGCTTCCAGTCTTCCTTCCCCCTAATAAATAGCAAGTAAAACGTTTCGTTCTCCCTTCTGCACCTTTTCACATATGCACGGCACTCTGCTTCTTTCCATGTGTGGGTTACACACATGTGTCCTCAGTGCTCTGAATTTCCTTCTGGAACTGAAAGTCGGGGGCTGCAGCTGTGTCTGGGGGGGGCTAAGGCAGGGGGGAGTCTGCAGAGCTGATGTGTGCCTTTTGGGGGGGAGGGGGAGGGATGAGGGGGGAGCTGAGGGGGGTTATGCTCCACACTGTCCAGGCTGTCTTTACCCAGTCCTGCTGGACCCCTGATTACTTTCTGGGAGGTGTTGCACATTGGTAATAAAACTACTAGCGCCCAGCAAAGATGGGAGGATGGGGAGAGAAAGAAAAAAAAAAGAAAGAAAACCATTGAAAGCTTTCTACCTACCTATTAAAATGAGTCAGGCTGTGAATGCACAGACTAGCCTGCCCTCGCAGGGCTAGCCACTATGCTACAGTAAAATGTACAGGAATCAAACATTAATTTAAAACCCCATAGCAGTTAACTTGCTTGTCCAGCAGAGTGCTGCAATGCCCCGTGTCACCCATTAGAGCTCAAACGCCTATGGAGAGGGGGGCATTTCACGCTGGAGCCTCTAACCCACACAGGGGCTGGCCAGAGCCTGTGAGGGAAAGGTGAAGTGGTGTCAAGTGCCAGATTCTCCTTCATGAAGCTCCCTCACTAGTGCAGGAGATAGAGCCCTACTTTGCCACCACCTACCTCTGACCAGAGCAGCAACTGGGGCTTTCATTGCTACACACTGACTACAAAGCACATCTGTGCATGGAAGATTTCAGTGTGATCTCACTACTGAGATAGTAAATAGAGATGTTTAGGAGTAATTTCAACTACATTCTCAGTCAGCAAAGCAATCATTAATGGATTCCTATTTTATCCCCAAAGAGAGGAAAAGGATTGAGAAGTTCTCATTGGCTTCTCCCATCTGCCCTTCATACTCAGCTTTTACTTCCCATGTGGCTGGGGACATGCACGATGGAGCAGGTGAGAGGCAGTGATACCAGGTTACTGAGTGGGACAAACAGCAGTTCCTCTCTCCCTCCAGAGGGCCCAGGGGTGGGAGAGTTCCTGGTGTTGCTTTCTCGCGCTGCAGACGTTTTGTGCACACTCAGTGGGTCGGTGGAGCACTTACGCCCTCCTGACAGTAAGGAACAGAAGAGAGGGCTGCCACCTGCACAGGACTGTGTGGGCCAGTCCTGCAAACCCAACATGCCATGGTTTATGGAGCCTTGGTTTGCAAGGGTTGCCACCTCGTTCTCAATGCGGCGGGTTCATGGCGCCTTGTCCACGTTGCTGCTTCTGCTTCTGCTGCATTAACAGCTGCTCCAGGGCTGAAGGGCCAGGATGCATCATGGAGCTGGACCAGATGGACTAAAAACAAACAGTCAACACTAGAACCTTCTTGCTCAAGCAACCTTCACAGCTACTTTCCTACAGAAGAGAGTCTTTTTTCCTCTTTTCCTTTCAATACCTACACCTTGCTGATCATAAAAGGTGTCCAGACAGAGGCCTCTAGAGAAAGGCTCTCCTTTATGAAATTCATCCTCCTCCAAAATCCTTATTACCATAAAAATTCATCCCACATTAGCAATTATTGATTTTGGACCCGTCAAAGCAAGTGTTTTAATTTCTTCCAGTTCTGCCAACCTAATCCTATTCCACAAAACACAACAGCACAAACTGAAAAATGTGTCTTCTTCCACTGCGGGTCACACTTCCCACACTGGCTGCATAAGAGAATCTGCAGAAAAAAACCTTCCATTTCTGACAATGAAGCACAGAGAAATACTCTGCCTCAAGTCCATCTCTCCATCTTCCACCCCATAGATCGGCACCCMTTTCCGAGCAGAGCCTTCAGTTAAAACATACCTTCAGGCTCTCCATGAGCACAGCTGAGGAGTCCTCCAGAGGGGGACCCTGGGCTGGCCAGGTGCCACTGGGAGTGCTGGACTGGTGCCAGCTGCTCTCTGAAGACGAGGATGTTGCTGGAAGATAGTCCAGACCAAATCCTCCCATTGCTGTAACAGGAAAAAGGTAAGATAAATTTAACAAAACCTTTGTGAAATGCCAACGGTTGGCTTCCTGCAAGCCTCAAATCCAGCACTTGCCTGGTTTATCTGTTTTCCAGCGGTCTGCRATTCTCCTGTCTCGGTTGTCTGAAGTCCCAATGGGCCCGAAGTTGGAGAAGGGAACAGAATTGTGGTTATGGGTTGGAGGGGAGCTTGGCAAGCTGCTGGGGTTGGAGGAGTGAGGAGACTGGCTGGCTGGTGTTGAATGATCTAGTGGTTACAAAGCAAGAGTAAAAGGTCAAGAGAAGTGGTAGAATCCTCTTTATTTTTTGCTGTTACAAATTTTGCCATCAGACAGTTTTCTCAATACTCAGAATCTTTTTTTTTCTCCCTTCATTTACATGAGCACAAGGTAAACCTTCTAAGTTCTTCCAGGAGTCCCCAAGAAGGCCAAGTAGCCAAAGGGAGCTTCCTTATGGCTCAGTTCTGAACAGCCTTCCTCAAGCAACACTACCTCCCCCCCCCCCCACACCATCTCCCACCTTGACAAGCCTATAAAAATGACCTAAATCCTCAAGGAGTTTGCAAGTTTACAACTCAAACTGGTTAGTCCATGAATCCATGAACACGTTTTACACTTCAAAAATCTGAAAGCAGTTCAAATCAGTACCAGGTATTGAGCCAAGGGAGCAAGTATGGAAAAGCTTAACCAGAGACAGGATGAACAGCAAGAGAAAACAGGAGACTATATGGTCTTAAATGGGTGAAATGAGGAGGTGAAGAGAAAGCTGAAAGCACACAGTGCTGTAAGCTATTGTGAAACCCAAGTATTTTGCAACAACTTCTACTTCATCCACAACAGTTGTTATCTCTGGTTGATGGCACAAGTCTCATTATGACCCAGGAAGGCTCATTGTAAGAGATACTTCAAAATATTCTTATTTCTTAGTTTCAGCTAATTCTTTCCCTCCCCTCAGACTCTTCTGTATTTATTGTTAGCGTAACAGCATAACTACAACATGCTTGATATCTTCAAAGRAAATTAGTAAAGGAGAAGCTGGTTTGCTGTGTCACCTGTCTTAGAGTAAAAAGGCTTTCAGATTTTCCTCAGTCTTYAGTCTYTTTTTCCTCCCCTCCCTCCTTCTTTCCTCTCTTTGAAAAGTCCACATCATGAAGTACAGCCTTTCCTGCTTTGGCTGAGCAAGACTGAAAGCATAGGGATTTCTGAGCTATCAAAGCTCTACTCCTAAATACTCATTGGGAATCCAAGCTAAAGAGATTTCAGGATTTAACACCTCTGAAAGCTTATCCTGCTCAGCAACTTAAATTACAATTTAGATTCTTACCCTACAATAACTACTGAACCACTCTTCTGAGGATAGCTAAAGAAAAAAAAGTCTCATATTTTGTCAAGCAGATTTTATTTCCAATTACATTTAACTTGCAGTAGGTTCAGAACTAACTCATATCCTCTTAAGTCACYGCATACAAGAGAGAAAATACGAAGAAAATACCTGAGCTGGCTGGAAGGGATGGAGACCATGGAGTCCCTTCGAAGAGAGAATAGAGTGAAGTCTCCTGATGGGCAACTGAAGGAACTTCTGTTTTTGTGCTGGTATTCATGTTTTTCCCATAAACTTCATTGAACATGCTGCTATTTGGGTATCTTTCCTGCCAGAAATGAATTTAAGCGAGTTTAAGTATCAGTTTTATTTAAAACCCTAACAAGCATCTCCTCTAGATAGTATGAATCAAAATACTTGGCCAATTCCTTTCCTACTCTCCAGCTCCTCCTCCCTCTTTGAAGATTTTATTTCATACAAAGTCCACCATAGGCTTTATATGTAGAATAAGCTCTCCTGGCTGGACTACAAAGCCTTGAAGACCTTTAAATTCACAGTGCTCATAAGAACTGCATCAAGACTGTGCTCAGTAAATGATTGTTCCATTGCTCAGGTTAAAAACAAAGCAAAAGATCTAACCAAACAACTTTGAGAAGGACCTTAGAAAAAGCAGTCCAGGAATCAACAGATGAAAAGTTTCTGCAGAATTACAGCTTGGGATAAAAATTGAAAAAAACAAAAACCCTAATTTTCAGAAAAGGTAAGAGGCAAAGATACACCTTGCAGATATGAACTGAAGTTATGAGCAAGGCTTTCTTTCAAGTTTGTCTAAGTGAAAGGCTGCCGATTTCTGTCCCTACATACCTGGTTAAGGGAAAAGCCACTGAGGGACAGGAAAGAAGATGACTGGGACATCAGTTCTGATGGTTTTTCCAGCAAGGACTTCTTCAAAAATCAGAAAGGTAAAAGAAGAACAGTTAACATTCAATGTAGCAAACAGGAAAAAATATATGAYATGAAAAAGTGCTTTTCCTATATTTTTGCTTAAGTATAGTGGATGATACGAGCCAACAAATGAAGAAAATCAATAATTTCCATACTAGTCTAGGGAGCTAATATACTTAAAACAACAAATATGCCTGTTTCCAAACTGCACTCATAGAACAGCATTTCACATCTTAAGCTTGCTACTCTGCCTTCGACTGCTGCCACTGTCTGATACACTTAAGAGGGGACAGGCTTACTAATAAATAAAAAAGATGTTGCCTATCTCTGTATCTGTACAAAACCTCATACAAACCAGGTAGGATCCTTTCCTGTGCTCAGGGAACTACCTCACATCTCAAAAGAACCTCATAACAGAGGTCCAAAACTTTGGGGGTGTCACATTAAAGAGATACTACATAGCACAACCATTTCAYGCAGCTAAACCTCCTCTCACACTGCTGTCATTTCCAGCATAATATTTCTCAACTCTCTTCAGTTCTTAGCAGGATTAAGGAGCAATAAATACCATATTTGAAAACAGGTCTGTTTAGGGCAAAAACAGGCTCAGCATTGGAACAAACTGCAACAAAATAAGAAAGCTGGACTGGTGCACCAGCAATACCGAGGGATTTAGTTGCAGAGCTACAGATATCCAAGTACAACTACATGATCCAGAATTAAGGCTGTAATCTTTAAAAAAAAAATTAAAAAAACCCTTCTTACACTCATTCCAGCTCAACATGCTAGATCTTTCTAAAATTACTGATTAGATAACAAAAGCTTGAACTAGAGTCCTTCATTTCAGCATGGTCTTAATRCTGAGCACCTCTGCCCTAATCCTGTGAGCCCAAGAGCAAAAGCCGTGTTTGCCTGGTAAGCAGCTCCCAGCCTGTTAGATATACAGAGCGTCAACTCTGTGCTTGAGGGGACACGCAGAGCTCCCACCCCGCTCAGCCCCGTCGCACACACAGGGCAGCGGTTCCTTCCCCTCGGCAGCAGACAGGGAACAGGGACTGCGGGAGCTTCCAAGGAAGCTGTCAGGGAAGCAGGGGGCCCCTTCTGGGCACAGGCACCTCATGAGACAGGACTGGGTGCTGATACTGCTACCGGCTACTTGGAATTACACGTGAAATAACTGATTAGGCTGATTAGCCAGAGATCAAGTACAGTCAAACAGCTCTGCCTTTCTACTGATAGAAATTTGAAATGCTCATATTCAATGAAGATACTTGTAGCCACACAAAGGCAGCCCTACATTTTTTGGAAGTCATTTATAAATTCTGCAGCTCAGAAGACCTCTGGTTAGTGAGTTAGGAAGGCTGCAACACATAAAAAATGAAGTATTTTTCAGCCTGTCAAAATTCACTATATTTCTCCAAAAGCTGCTGAAAACTGGCCAGTCACTTGCAGTTTTYTTCTTTGCAATTTCTTTATGCAACTCTTCCAGGTGAGTTAAAAAGAAAAAAAGAAAAAAAAAAGGCACTATTTGAGTCTGATGTCTTCCACCTTGCACACCCTCACTCCTATTCCCAAGCCCATGCAACTGCAGAAGCCCAAGCCCGGGGAARGAGGGAAGCATCACCGAGTTTGCAGGACAATTGCTCTCATTTCTGAGCAAACACCTGAGCCGGGATTTGGCCCCAGAGCCCTGGGCTTCTGCACGCCACAGGCAGAGCCACCTCCCCAGGTCGGCCGAGCCCTCGGCTGGTCTGACCTGCRCTGCGGACATCAGCTCAACGGTGGCGGGCAAGAAGTGGAGAGGAGGGACAGGCAGCAGAAAGGAAACGTCACATTTCTTACACAATTCACAGAAGAAAGATGCCAGTTAGAGTGAGAAGCAGCAGTATTAAGTCAAATACATACAAAGAGGCTTCGTCCAGGAAGAGAGGCGAGAGGCCCCAGCAGAGCTGGGTAAAGATCAGGAGGATTAGAGAAAATCAGCTCTTCCTCCTCCTCCAAGGCAGCCAGACTCTTTAACAGGTCCGGAGGAAGCAGAGGGGAGCTCTTGGGGTCCTAGTGACAGAAACGAGCACCGTGAGACAACCGAAGGCAGAAAGGGCAAGAACAAGAGCAGKCAGGGAGCTGGGCTGCACACAAGCAGGGCAGGAGAAGGAGCAAGAGAGGCAGGCAAGTGCAGCAAGGAGGGCAGCATGCAAAGGAGGCAAGGGGAAGGCAGAGCAAGCGACAAGGCAAAGGTTACTTGGAGGGAAAACACTAAGTGCAGGAGTAAGCTGGGCACCCACCTAACACCAACAGGGAACACTGCATCCCTCTGCCAAGGAAATGGTACCAAAGTGGTTGGCAGTTGGAATTATGGAAGCACATGCTTCCCACTGCATCAACACCAAGCACTGGACCCGTTTCACATTAAAGGTAAAATAGTCTCAGTTCAGCTATGGAGAATGTGTCATCCCTTCTCTGCAATAAATTCATATTTATTGTCCTTGCCTTTAAAGAGAAATCATGTCTGCATTTCCCCTCCTCTTGTATAGTTTTAAACCTGTAAGACTTATTTCCACTGCTTGGGACCCCATGTCTATGGTCCAACTGATGGAACTGTCRGACACAAAGCCCTGCCATTCCTGGGTACAGGCTGGTCACACTGGTTAACTTGTGCGCTGCAGGAAGTGTCTGAAACAGAGGCGTCACGGGCCRGGCCTGTGCCCTGCTTGCCACACAGTAAGGCTTCCATTTCAGGCATGAGAACAGGCTAGTGACCCTGTCTCCATCTAAAGACCATTGCCTGATGTCACCACAAAGGCAGTCTCCTGAGCGCTGGCCAGCTTTGCTCCCACAGAGCAAGCTAAGGGAGCTCTGCTSACCTTCTGCAAAGCCAGAGTGCGTATAAAGAGGCATAGCTGAGCAAAGATTTACCAGGGCCTCTGTTTAACTTCGCTTATATCACCAAGAGCACTCTTGGATGACTCCATAGCTGCTAACATATAGCAGACTGCAGGTTTTCGAAGCTGCAASATGGAGCACACTCTTCCCATCACCCTCAGCTTTAGCTTCAGTCCAAGTATTGCAGCCTCGGCCATTCAAAACACAAGACATTATACAGGCACTGAGAGTTTAAAAGGGTAAAGACTAAAGGGCAATGACTGAACTGCAGTTACTTGCATAGCGTTTTTGTGTCTCATCAGGGGCTAGATAAGAATTGCTGCTAACACTGCCAATGTGAAGCTGCTCCACCCGCCAGAGTATCTCCACAAGAGGAGAGACTCACTACAGCCTGAAAGAGACTTGCACGGGGTTCTTCACAGCAGACCAGTGTCACACCGGTGCTGCATACGACTTACACCTACTTGCAACCGAGTTTTCTGCAGCCCGATCACACACACAAATCAAATAACAAGGTACTGGAGTTCCTGTTATCTCATTTACTGTTTTCTAGTGAATAGTCCAATATCCAATTCCCTAGTAAAACAGTAGAAGGTGGTTTGCATTGATCCACTTCAAGTTACAGAACATTCCTGAACTGGGGAAACAAATAAATTGTCAGGAATATGGGAGCCTTGTTGATTTTGATCATCTATAAAGCTGCTCTTTACCTCAAAGGTCATCCTGGAGACAGCATCCTGTTCTGGGCGGAAGACTCCTTGCCGTTTCCCCCTGCGGTCCATGCTCGACTGCTGCGCCATCACCCTGTTATCAGCCATGCCATAAGAAGAGTCCCAGTAATATTCCGGCACCTTGACTTCTGAGGGGTTCTGGTTATATGGCTCCATTGGAAAAGGCTTCATTTTTTTCTCCAGAGGCTGCTGTTGCATCACAGGAGGCTGTAATGACTGTTCAAACAATTTTAGAGGGTCCTGGGCCTGAAGGTAATAGGACTGCTTTACAGGCATGATCTTCCCCAGCGAGCCTTGGACTTGAGGAGGGTTCCAGAGCTGCTTTGACGAGTCTGTCTGGGGGTACTGAAGCAGACGTGCAGGCTTTTATCAGGAGAATTACGAACAATTAACGTTAGCTGAAGGCCTAGCTTAATTCAGACTGATATCCTGGCTAAATAACTACATTATTCACTAAAATTCAATCCTGATGGGCATATAATACTCCCTACTGAAGGCAACGCTTGAGCATTATCCTCACTGTAATCCACCTTTACTAAGTGCTGAACCAACATTTGCTACACCATACAGGTGGGTCTCACAGTCTTCCTTCTGATCACTGTCTGCAKGAAAATTCTCAAATATGACACGTACATAAAACTAGGTATGAGGGTAAGGGAATCAGAGTAACCCAGCTAGCCAAAAAAGGGTAGCATAGGTGAAGATTCAATCCTCATTCCCATACAGCAAATGGCACCTGGAAGGCTTAAGACAGAAATAGCTGAGCAGAAACACCTTCATTTGTTGCCATACACAAACACAGAGAAAGTAGAAACTGCCTCCCCTTCTTAATAGGTACCTCCTTCCTGGTCATAGATGCATAAGCTTAAACCCACTGAACTCCAGCTCTTTTTCAAAACTGCCCCCAAAAAATTACAGATTATAATTCCTTAATAAAGTACATACTGAGYGTTTTCCTTTTTGTTTGTTTTTTGTTTTTTTTTCTTCAAGAAAGGTAATTTATGAATTGAATTAACTTTAAAGTGTCTTGAACATTGTGAGGCATTCTCAATGAAGTTGAGCACACCAGGTTCTTGGGTCTTACCTGCTGGAACCCCGAGTGGTGCGGGGGGCTCTTCCCAAGGCCCTGCACAGCCTTTGTGGGGGACTGTTGCTGCTGTTGGGCCAGCGCTTGCACCTGTAGCTGGCCTGCAGACTGTGCTGTCGCCTGAGCTGGTAACGATGAGAGGGGTTGTTGGGTGGGAGGAGGTGTTTGCTGAGGTCCCTGGGTCATGGGCCCTGGTCCGGAGGGCCGCTGCTGGCTGTAGGGAATGTGGGACTGCTTCCCGGCTTGCACCTGGTTGCCCGCAGGCGAGTGAGCGGTGGGCTGCAGGAAGGTTCCTGGGACAGAAACGCCGCCTGGGAAGGTGTATCCCGTGCTCATGGAGAAAGCCACGGGTGGGGGGACAACGTAGGTTGGAGGTGGGAATCCTGCAAGAGATAAAAAACATGCCTTTAACCATGATTTATGCCTCAAATGGCTCCCTAGACAAAACATTCAGGATTATTTTCTCTTTTCACCTTTAAAACATGAGGACAAAAAAACACTAAGTACCATTTGCATACAGGCAAGATGTTGGTTTTCACCTTCACAAGTATATGGCTACAATCATGGGGAATTCAGAGTTTGGTCACAAGTTTTCCWGTCATTCAGTGACATTTGTGCTACTGAAAGACGGTGTCAAGTCACACGAGACATGTCAGGAAATTCTCCTCTCTCTGCCTTATCGCACCTTTTCCCTTCATCACTGTGTGACTTTTTTGATGGAGAACTCCCAGAACTCCCACCCTCTCAAACATATTTTCAGACATTAAATTTCTATAGTGCTGGACAGAGAAGCAATAAGCAAGTCTACTGCCTCTCCTGGGAGGATCACCAGTCTTTGGATTAATTTAAATAGAGGCAGAGGGCAAGCAAACAAATCCTCACATCTGCAAGATAATTCCTTTCCTGTAGTCCACATTGGAAAGCTAGGTGTGGAGGGCAAGCTCTAATGCTTATTCTGCAGGCCATATTTTATTTCAGCCTTCGGACAGGGAAGAGGTCCCTGTCCTATATTGAGCAACAATAAACAGCAGCTGCAGAGACTCTTTGGGAAGATGAGACTTGCAGCTATTTCTGTGCATAAAGACAGAGCGTGAGGTACAAACACTTTATAACAAAGTGGGGAACATGCAACGAAACAGCAAACACCACTACAGAAATTACACCTCTACAAAGGAAACTGAGCTGTAAAGAAGAAAGCAGTTATGACTGGTCCTTCATTAGAGTACTATACACAGAGAATGCTTACTCCTGAGCTAGCACAAGAGTTTGTCATGTTTTGAAAAGCTACAAAAATAATCCGCTGTGAAGCACCTTGATCTCATACCTGCCATTTGAGCAGCGAGGTGGCAGGCTTTACAACAAACCTCAATTACAAAGTACGAGGAATCTGACTTGTGTTGTTTCAGTTCTGCTATGCTCCTTCTTTACTACACAGCAAAATACTTAACATGAGAAAGCGCATTCACCAGAACAGTCACTGCCTTGTGTGACTACAGTAACTCATCACAGACTTTTTGGCAGTCAACGGGAAATCACACTTGAGAAAAACCCAACAAAATACCTGGTCGGCTGGGCAGGGGAGGGAAAGCTCCTGGGTGATGAATGGGGATGAACTGGGAACTGCTGGCCTGACTTGGAGTCTGAGTTACAGGCGTTTTCCTGGCTTCAGACACTGGAGTTTTCCTCATCTCAGTCTGGGACTTTACCTGTTCCAAGAGAAAGTGACACAAAYTCAGAATTTGTTTTTTGAAGTTGAACTTGCAAATTATCTGTGAGGTTATTTTCTTTGCCCTAAATAGGTGGAAGAGGTCTGGAACACACAGATCCAGTTTTTATTCTCTGACTTTAGGCAAATCACTCCACATTTGCTTGGGTGCTCTTTGTCTCATAGAGGCACTATATGGATATCTATGGAGAAGACTGCAAGAGGCTCCTTCTCTAGCAAGAGAGGAAAGCAGACATCAGCTTCCAGCAGACCATATGAAGAACTTTTGCTACTTACCATGCTGCTCAACTTGTACTTTAAGGAAGCAAAAATCCAAATGCTCCTCTTTTCTAGGGCACTGCTTCAACCTAATTCATGGTACTTACCTGTGGCACCTTAAAAACAGGAGAAAAAAAATCTTCCTGTTATTACCAGGCAGTTTTTTCAGCCTAACTCAAGTGGTGCAGTATGGGCACAACCCTCCACATATTTCAAAATTCTTTTGACCAAGAGCACATATGACATAGCAGAAGTGCTTAACYTGTTGCAGTTTGCTGTGCAGCTCCTGTGTGTTCTATACAAGGAGCTGCACCAGTTAAAGGCAGAGAGAAGAAGGTAAGGTAATGTTTACCTGATTCTGCTGCAGTCTGGGTCTTCCTGGAGAGGAAGACAGAGGGGAAGACTACTTTCCCTTTCTGTTCAGCTCGGCAGAACTGCCTGGAACGCAAGATGAAGCAGGCAGGAAAAAGACAGCAAGCAAGGAACCCGGGCAATACAGAAAGCACCCGGGGAGCAGCCCGGAAGCCAAGCCTCAAAGGTGATTGCACGAAAGGGGTTTTACCAGTGATGGAGGTTTAAAAAGAAAAAGAGCATAAAAATAGACTATGCAGTTTATTTCAATATTGAAAGCTATTGGACTGAAAGGATTTAGAGGGTCATTCTTTCCTGCAAAACACGTTGGTAAAGGGGTAGATGTATCCAAACATTTTCTTTAGTCTTCCTCAAGTAATTCTCAGTTCCCCCGTTAGAAATTATAGAAGTGTCATTTACTTTTTGTGCTTCATTTAGGTGCTGTCAGAGTGAGGGTTTTTTTTTTTTTTTTTTGTGTGTGTGTGTGTGTGTGTGTGTGTGTGTGTTTTTAATCCCTTGCTAGGAAAAGGCAAGAGACAAATTCCCTCCGCAGGCTTTGGCTGATGCCAGGTACCGTGAGTGAAGCAGCAACCCCGGTTTCCCCTCTCGTGCCAGTTCTAGTCACTGGCCACCTTTCCCCTCCATCACAGTCTGGATATTCAACACTTGTGCTGGCATAATTCACTCCACAATGAACCAAACATTTTGTAACACAATCCAAGAGTTACACATTGGTTTTTATACAAATGTCGCAGAAGTCAAAGACATTTTTCTCACAAGGGGACAAATCAATATTACCAAGGTCACATTTGTTGTTAGCAGGCTTGGAAAATAAGTTCATTAGAACTATTAACCCTCCTCTACCCATCACAGTGCAGTACAAGCTAAAAAGAAGTGGCCTGAGAGTAAGTTTTGACTACTACTGGCCTTTACTGTAACAACATCCTTTATATTGTAAGGATGTTATCAAGGCATGAAATTATCTATCAAAATGTTGCCATCTCTTTATTACATCTGGATTAGTATTCCATGAAACCAGCATTTCACCACAGTGGCATGTTAAGGGTATTTTATTTTAAGCAATTCTGTGCCCCTTAGAAAATGGAGAAGCAACTTAGGCCTGACTTYAGTGATCCTGTGCTGATTATGTGCTGTTCTTTATATTTTTGCTTTATAAGGTAGGAACTGCAACATTTATAGTGTTTGCAGTGTTCAAGGGGATGAGCTATAGAGTAGAAACATTTGAAGAGCCAAGAAAGGCCAAAGTAGAGCAYTAAAACTGCCACTTGTGTGGAGTATTCCCTGGCTTCTCCTTGCAGCACGGGAAGCAAGATCTGCAGCAAGGCTCAGGAAGGAGGGCCATTGAACTACGCAAAACCAAAAGGAATTTCCTTGTGTCGGCTACCATAACAAAAAAAGAGCTGACAGAACTAAAAAGACAAAATTTCTACTCAATAAGAGAACAGGAACAACTAACRAAGTCAGACCAAAATACACTACAGTCAGGTTTAAAATAAGCCCTACAAACACACACAAAAAGTTAATCTTAGGATTAGCAAACTCCTAATAAATTCTTAAGGTTAAAACATTTTTCTTGGGGCGTTATGGGGGTAGGGAAGAAAAAAAAAAAAAAAAAAAATCACACTTCACAGAAGAATTTTTCAAGCCCAACTCCATAGGTAGCTTTGCAAGACAGAGGCCTGAACCATAATCCCAAAAACTGGGAATTATACTCAGGCCTGCAGCCTCATACCACAAATAAAGGAGAACCTACTGCCTTAACTCATCTACTTAAAGAGAYCGGTACCTGTCATGAATGATCACCACATGGCTTCTGTAGGCTACTACTTCTCCCCACTCTAGCACTCATGCAAAACCCCAGTCTTCTATCAGTCAGATCACACAGTCATTTCAGACCTTCCATTTCATAATGAYGATGTTTGACAGGAAATAACCAAGAGCAGAACAATAAGAAAGATCCGAGGGTCTAAACAGCAGAAGCCAGAAAGACCGACAGAGCTGGTTTGTCTAGTGTGAAACAAAAACCACAGCACCACAGGCCTTCAAAGAATGGCAAAGAGTTAAGCTACTCTGACAACCTGATGAAGTAGAACCAGGCTTATGTGGTGGCAAGGACAATGAAGAGCATTAGGAAGCATTTTCTACTTGCAAGAATGGTGAAAAACTGAGTTTCTCTAGGGAAACAACAGGATCTCCACCACTATCACTAGAAGTCTCCATCTGTCCCCTGGCAATGGCTGAGATACAGCCAGTCATGTTCAAAGGAACTCTGAAGTTCTCTGCTCTCATTTACTGCAACTCTGTCCCATCACAACAGAGCATAGCATGCCAAGAACATGAATAAAGAATTGACCAGGTGAGCTGTGTTAGTAGCCTGGATTATCTCTGGAACAAAAGCTAGAAGCCTGTTTTAAACTGCTGAGATAGCAACAGAGTCACTGTCATGACTCCCTACCTTCCCTTTCCTTCTCGCTCCCTAATAACCTAAGATAACATCAAGGGAAAGGCAGAGACCACAAAACTCACTAATACTAGAAGCACATCTATTCCAAAGATCTATTTTTTCCTGCRTGGTACATGTGCTGCAGAAATACCCAAGGGACCCAAGTGAGAACTCAACCGGCCCCAACATCGTGCCTAAGATATAGAATCCCTTCAATCCAAGGCTTACCTGAACTGCCACGTTCTGCTTTCCCGCTTCCTGCATTTTATCCAAGGGGCATTTCTTGGTCTCATTCTTTCTTTTATTGTTATCCTTCTTTCCATCAATTTTGGTGGCTACTATTCCTTTGCTATAGTCCCTTCTCTCCCTACTGACATCTTTAGGAGGATAGATTCGCCCTTGCTCTCTGTTTACTTCCCGTGGCTTAATGTTCTCTTTGAATGTGACCATTGGTTTTTCTCCTGCATCACARTTGTTGTTTAGACTTCTGCCAGTGGACAGAACTGATTTGAGTCCAGGGCTTCCATCTGTGGATAGTGGCTCTGCAATTGATGTCTCCTGCAAGGCAAGACTCTCTTTGGCTTCACTAGGATCCTCTAGTATTAACTCCGGGATTTCTGTCAAAAACAACAGCTTTCCCACCTCATTTTCACACTGAATTAACCTGAAAAAAAAAAAAACAAGTAATTGAACAGTAAATAAAAACAGGTTTTCAGAGAGACATATCTTCTCAAGCTACAAAAGCAGAAAGTCAACACATTCAACATGCATCTCAATGGCAATGACTAGATGTTACATCTCTGAGCCAAGGGCTCTCTAGGTTGCTATAAACATTCATCACAGCRCTCTAGCTACTCCTTTAAATTCTTTTTTCACTTCTCGTTTATGTTGCAGGGCCTTATTAAATACAAGGCTTTACTCCAAATATAGTCCCTATTGAAAAGAGATTGCAAAACCGCATGCTGGCCCAAGGAATGTTACAGTAGCCTCATCAGCATCTCACATTTGCATCATACCTAGATGCTCTGTAAAATAATGAGAAAAGGAGTTTTTCTTTGGCATCTGCAATACCCAAACTTACAGCTGCAACTAAAACACAAAAGCCAGTACTACAGATGTGCAGTTACCTTGGTTGGTTATCAGCAATCCATTTGCCTGTGAAGATCAGACGCTGTTGCCGTATCCTACGTTGCTGCCCTTCCTTATCCCCTGTAATAGCCTGGTGGCCTTTTGAAAAATCCAAGTTCCTAGTATTCACACACAAGAGAATAACATTAATTATACAGTTACCATCTGCAAAAATAGGTAAAGAAACATGGCACAGTTATGGATGTCCAAATTATGGACTCAATCACAGAATCACAGAAAGCTTAAGGTTGGAAGGGGTCTCAGAGGTCATCTAGTCCAATCCCTCTGCTCACGCAGGGTCACCTAGAGCACATTCCTCCTCCTCTTCCAGTAAGATGTGTCTATATTAGAGAGGCTCTTTCTCCTCTCTTACTCAGTGACTTTAAAAAGAGAAAAAAAAAAAAGGGAAAAAAAAAGCTTTTATTTTGCATGGTGACCAAATAAAAAAAATGAGTGGACATATCTAGTAATTAGTCAACACGTGTGCATGCTCATTTATTTCCTCCTACAGTTAACGGTCAATAATGTTGACACTCTAACATGGAAACCATGAAACTTACTAGGTTCTGATGTTAGGTATAACAGAAGAACACAGTGAAAAACAGAACAGAAAGCAAAGCAAACACTCATCAAGTAGTTTTAATCTAAAAAAAAGTAATTTCTTAAAAGTTTCCATTTCAGCTTACTGATCTGAAGACTCCAAAGAAGAGTCATAAGCAACATTACAATTTTAGTTTAACCCACTTCAGAATTTTACTGGACTGGCATAGTGTTCCTTTTGAAGAGGAAAACAGGTGCTGAGGCCCTATGCTCTTTATTACACCTTCAGTCCATACAGGTGTAAGGATCCATAAATAAAGTTCTATAGGGAAGAGGTGAGGTCAAGGTCTATCATAGTCACACCAACAAGAGTACAGTTTCCTTCACCAACCTGAACGAGGGTCTCAGGGCCAGGAATCCTTGCAACTCAAATTCTTCTGGAAGAGGGGTTGCTGGTGAATAGACAGCAAACAGCATAAGGAAAGCACAAACACATCAAGAACAAAACCAAAGGAGACAGGTCAGTAAAGTAAAACACAGTAAAGCCTTTTATTAACATGGWCTACTGTAGTGGCCCACCTGAAATCTGAGCAGTCCAAGAATGACACAATAGACCAAAGTCTGCTCAGTGCTCAAAAGCATCATTTGCAAAGTTTTCACGAGCATTATAAGAGGGTTTTATTGCTCTTTAACTGCAATTCCCCACATCAACTAAAAACATCCTTTCTACTCCTTCACAACACAGACCTGAGGTCCTTACCATTACTACTGGATAGATCTTCTTCATGGGGCTGGAAACTGTTCAGAAGAGAAATCAGCCAGGGCCATATGCTACAAATCAGAAGACAAAAAATATTGACAGTGAAAACTACGAAGCAAGACCTATTCACCTCACCAAGTTAACACCGAACTCCTATTCTGCAGCCACAGCTTCCGTTAATCCTCTGATTCCAAATAAAAATAATGCTAGTCTCTCAGGTGACAGGAAAAAGCTCACTTTCTTGAGCTATTTACTATTCAAATGGTTAATCTAAGTTACCTTGGAAACTTTTTTTTATTTGCAGCATAGTGTTCTGTATCCAGCAAGTCAAAACGCATACTATGAATTTAATTAGACAGAAATATGACATGACAGGAAGCTCAGAGCACCTGTTTGCAATTCATGCTTTCCAATTAAAAGCTGACTGCTCTCAGACAGAATAAACAAATCTGTTCAGAAGCAAAACAATTTAATTGATACAGCTGTGCTAAAGTACTTTTGTTCTGCTGACATTAATAGAGTAACCAAATGCAAAAACAGCTACTGGAGAGCTAGGAAGGTTTAAGTAACGGGTGCAGTCAGTAAGATGATTACACTGGAGACTAACTGGCAGTCATAGTGTCTTGCATTGGTTATATCAGTGGATGAAGCAGAAAAAAATGGAAATTCTTTCCTAAAGCTCTGGAGCAATTACACTGCTGCATATTTGGTTACCATTAGCCACCACCACTAGGCTACACAGTTTCTCCAAAAAGCAGCCCCAGAAACCCTACCACAACAGTGATGTGCCTGTGCTTATGTTTCAAGACCTCCTCCTTCAAAATTCAAATAATTTGTTGAATCGTGCACCAGTAAAAGTCGAGATTTCAATGCTGCCCAAGTTGCTGACTTGAGTGAACATGAGGCAAGCACTTCCCCCTACCTCAATAAAACTGGGAAGAAAAAAAAAACAAAAACAAAAACACACCACAGTTACAGAGACTGGAACAAGGTTGCCTTCAGTAGTAATGCTGAAATCTGACCCACTAAAAACAGATCCCCTAATCCTTTTTTTTAAGGTAGGAAGTGAACCTACAGCCAATCAAGACAGTGAATTGGCTCACATAGCACCTGCAGGGCTCATGTTTTGTTTCATCAACTTTTTACCATACTGCATTCCCTACCATTTTGGTGCCTGTAATGAAAAGCTAAATGGATAGTGATGGGAAAACAGATCCTTTATCAGTCTTTTACCTTATGCAATTATAATTGTATCAAAAGAAAGATTAACACTCACTACCGTCTTTCATCAACTACTGCCTCCTGGAAAACACTGGGTCTGAGTTTCAGCCAGTCCATTGACACCTTCACAGCTGGAAGAGGATAAGCAGCCCCAGAGTCCTCCTGGTAGTCATTCTGTAAAGGACACTTGCAGAGAACTCCAAGAAACGACACTGGAAACAGAATACGGAAAAATATAACATGCCATCCCACACTTACATTTTAAAATATATATACACACACACACGTATATATGTATGTATATGTATATATATATATATGACCAAATAGCCTAATAAAATACATTCCACTCACAATAGATTTTTTTAAAGAGCTGTTTAGAACAAGGCAGCACGATAACTTTATCTTAAAGATTCTATTAGAAAATCAGTTTATCTTTCCATCCCCAAGGACATAACTCTCTACCATGAAGCAGTTAATGTTTTTCTTGTTTTGTTTTAAAGGATGACAAAACAAGATAGAGTCAAATCACTTCAAAAATTTAAGGCAACAAAACCAGACTAAAGAGATATTTATCTAGTCATGTATTAGAAATGGTTGCCTCAACTCTCTATTGGCATTTTATCCATTTCCCCAGACCATCAGGCAAACTCTAACTCAGTGCCCACTCAGCAGTGCTCATGTGTCCATTACGCTAGATGCTGACAGCATGTTACTGGTGGATAATAAGAAATCACTTATAAAATATAGAAATGCAAAAAAAAATAAATTAGACCTTATACTTACTGAAGAGAGACAGTAACTGTGTCCAGCAGAGCTGCTCATCCTGGCTGTAGCTGTGTTGCTCTGTCTCATTGCTAAAGTCTCGCAGGTGATGGAGTTGGAACAGGTTGATAACAGTAATATGGACTAACTGCTGAGAATTGAAGGCCTTTTGGAATAACAACCTCTGTAACAAAGACATGGGTGCCAAGTATGTAGCATTATATGGTAAAGCACACACATGAGAAGACTAGGAGTTATTACTGCACTGCTCGTTCCAGTCCTGGAGGCAGCACTTATTCTAGATAAATTTTTTTTCAGGCCACCTCTAGCACAACCGCACAGGGCTCCCCAGCAGGACATGGGAGGTTACCCACTGCTGAGCCCAAAGATTTTGTTTGCATACCAACTCATACACGCAATGAAGCAATMCTGCTGGGAACAGTGCTTTTTCAGCCTGACTTCAATGCATAACCTCAGCTTTTCCACACAGCTCCGAGAGCTGCAGAGATGTATACGTCATGAGCAGTTTTCAGTCGTTCCAAGAATTGCAGATATTGGGTGGCAGGTTTTACATAAAAGATTCCAGGAAAAAAACTACTGCCTGGTTGTGCATTAAAGACAAATTTCATATCCAGCTTCATTGCCACAGAGCACTGTGGTTGACAACAATAGCACAAGCTGTTTACAAGCGCACTGCACTAGCAGGGCTGTAAAGGGCATCTGGTCTTTCAGAATTAAAAAGAAACTTTAATACTTACTTTGGAGCACTAAGAAAAGAGAACTTAAATCACAACAAACATTATATAGAGACAAAAGGTAGGCAGGCAAGTCAAAATATCAGAAAAAGTTTTGAGCTTCCTGTTAAACTTTGGTTTTTCTTAAACACATAGGACACTAAATCTAGAGCACTAAGTACAACAGCTCAGGCTTCCAGTGCTCTCAAGAGCAGAACTGTGGACCTCGCTGAAACCTAACCCTAAGTCTGTTCTCCTTACTCAAAGTTAAAATGAGTCCTAATGTCATTTAAAAATAAATTAATAAATCACGATCCACAGTACATCCATACTCAACCCACACAAGTCAGAAAAGCTGCTATGTAATAAATCAAGTCTTATGTTCCACAATATATACAAAAAAGTTATCTAAGCAACAAAGCAGAGGTTAATTAACTCAACTTTAACACCCAGTCTCACACCAAAGAAAATCTTATTTCGCACATGCCTGAGCAAGCACATCATTACTGATCCTAACTGTCCTRGAAAAACAGCATTTGCTCAACAGTCATTATCAGAAGGAAAAATAAAATAACAACAATAATAATAGTAATAAATACACTCATATACACACAACAGACAACCCATCAGTGACAAAATCAGTGCTTGAGCAGCTGGCATTCAGAGTTCTTAACTCACAAGTAGTTCTGCTTTTATATTTCAAGGACTGTTTCAACCTACTTATAATAAACCAATTCAAGGCAAATATGTAAACAAACTCCATAAATAAGATTTCTAATTCTTGGCATTGCCAAGATCCATTTCCCTTTAAATTTGTAAGAACATCTACTAAAAGCTGTTTGCTGTGTTCAGCCTATCCCTTGCTCCWGCTCCTTTGCCACAAACAAGCTTTTTGAGAGCAGTTTTCAGAAGGCGTGCAACACTTAATGCAGSACTCACTTCCATACCACCCTGTATAAACATCTTCAAAAACTCTTTGGTTTAAATCCTTGCTACATTGTCTACCTTAGTGAGCTGGCTATATAATTAATAGGTACTCCTGGATTTTCCAGAGGAAACATTAGTTCTGAATAGCTCCAGTCTATGCACAAATTAAGGCTGTATAGGAAGACTGCTTTTAAAAGCAAACCACACACAGGAGATGCAAGTTGTCTGAGGAAGATTAAAAGCAGTCTTAATAACCAGTGGGATGAATGAAAGCCATCCAAAAGTAAAGTTCTTAAGTTCTTCAGGCAATTTAGCCTAGACTTTTCGCAGATGATGCAAGAACTTTTCCACAGGTACCCAGGAATCATCTGAGCTAAAGAGCAGAGAATCAAGTGTGGTTACAGAGCCTTCCTACATCTCCCCAATACCTAGTGACACATTAAATGAAGAAAAAAAAATTCCAACTACCTTCAGAAGTCATTAGAAACCCATTATTAGCTGCCACGCAACCCTGCCATCACCGGCTGCCTGAGCTAGCTCACTGCATTTTAACATGTTATCAGTCTGTAATTTCAGAACTCCGTTGCTAAAAATACTCTGTGCAGTSTATTAATTAATACATTGTTAGAACTAACCTTGAACTGCTCTTCCAGCTTTTCTCGAAGAGGGGACAGCTTCTCCAAGCTCTTACTCAGGTACACATGACCATGGAATTTAATAAACGCCTTGATGAAGTCGGACACACTCCATCGAGTCTTCACTTCATCACGACTACATTCAGAACACAAAGACTTAACTTGAGTCTTTGGAAAGAGACACAGTTGCACATAAAATCATTTTTTCATAAGAAAGTTCAAGGAGGGAGAAATGCTCGCTCCAGGCTGCTTTTCATGCTGGCACAATATGCTTATTGCTAATCACATTCAGGAGTGTTACCGATATAAACTGTTCTTTACTCCAAACACGCATAATGACATTGTGACTGGAAGGAGATCAAGGACCTTATATTGTGTTCCCAATCCTAAATATGAATGCTTCTGACAAGGGAGGTAAACTGGGAGGAAATCTGCTCCATCTTACCCAAAGAAAGATAAGTCATACTTAGTCTTACCTCTCCAGTGCTTTAGAAAGTGCTTTTTGTAAGTTAGTGGAGGCAGCTGGGAAAGGAAACTTCACAGCAATGCTTCTGCAGTAGTAGAAAATCGTGGTCAAGTGGTCTCCTTTTGAGGAAGCTAGAATAGCCAACTGATTATAAGGCTGACCTAGGGGACAAAAAGAAGACAACTTGCCATGGAGAGAAGTCTGCACACTTGAAAAGGGAGCAAAAACTCCTAAGATAACAACTAATTTGCTCACATTTTCACCCACTTCAGTACCACACAAATTCAGAAGCTTTTTCTTTTTAAGACTACAAATCTTTTAAAGATTAGACAACCAATAAGGCATAAGATTTTATCTAAAGATGATAGTGCAGAACCAAACATCTGCCACCAACATATTCATGAGTATCTATCCAGACAAAATTCAAAACTCAATCTTGACTTGYGATGCATATAGAGAATAGACTATGGAGAAAATCATAATTATGAATTTCTCCACATTTTAATTAAAGTGCATCTAACTAAAGCTGAATTACAKATTTCGTCAGCCTGGCTTGTAAGTGTTTTTTTACTTACGACTACACACTACTGTTTGGGCCACTGTAGCCCAACAGCTAAAAGCTAGATGTCTGAACAAAGCAAGTTTTAAAACTGCATATTTTAGTAGCTCAGTACTAGCTACTAAGTTTTAGAAACTGGCATATGAACAAAGAACAAAAAAATGCAGCTGGTGGGTAAATTTTAGTTAATTATATTTAAGTACGTATAAATATAACACAGCATAATGGTAGCACTAGTARAATCTTAGTCTAAAACTACACTTGAATCTGTTTTTAAAACCTTTACAAAAATGGAAGAAATAATATAGATCAGGCAAGCAGTTTTTATCCAAATAATCAAATGATGGATTAGGCTTTATTTGGAGGATTTTTTTAGATTAGAGGAGGTTTAAAGAAAAATCCAAGTTTCCAACTGTCACAAAAGAAAAGCCAATGCCTCAGATCTTCCTTCGGAGTTAGTGAAAAAGTATTCCAGACTCACCATTGGAAGGGACAAGCTGAGCTGCATGTCTGTAGTAAGACTCTGCCTGGCTGGTCTGATTCCTATAGCGAGCTAAGAGAACACAAAAACAAGTTTAGGAAAAAAAAAAGTTTTCCTGCACCTTGAAGAGCATACCTGAAGATCATTTTACTATTATTTTAGAAGTAAGCTTTAAAGGAACAGTAATTATATCAAGCAGCACGAACATTTAACATGCTGAATTTCAAGGTGGTTGTTTTTCCTGTTCAGATCCTACTGCCACAGCTTACCAGTTCTCTCTTAGAAAGACATCATGGCAATAGCATAGCATCTAAACACCTACAAATTCTTTTCATACCTCTGTGCACTATCAGCAACTGGATTTACTTTTACATTACTAGAACAGCAGTTGCAGATTCCCATAAAAAAATGGAACTTTGGACAAGACAGCCCTCCGATCTAAATCGGCATGCAAAGAAATAAACCTATTGAGCTTAATGTAAACTAGAAGCCTCCAAAAATGCTGGATTTCTCACCTTCTCTTTTGTATATAGCTGATTTTACAGTAACCTTCTCAAAGGGGAAGTAGGCTAGCCTGCTGCAACAAGTTTCTGTAACAATCCCCAGTTTCACTATGCCTACCAGCTACAACATGACTCCACAAAACACATGCTGGAAGCAAGCAACTCTAGCAAGTCACTAGAAGGTTATCCTTAAACCCCTCTCTGCTTTAATATGCACCACACTAAAACAGTCCAACAGGATGGCTTTCCAGACCTTTCCGCCTGCAACAACCACAAAACATGTGGTCAGTCACTAATTACAGGAGACCCACTTGGTGTAACAGTTGCCCTAACAGATTTCTGTCAGCGAAGGCAGAATATATAGGCAGAACTCAAAGTCCTATCTCTTTTTGCTTCAAAAACTCACCGATATCTCCAAGGTGGACAAGGCAGTGCTGGCAGATGTAAGAGCAGGAGCTGGACTGCGGCTTCACAATAGCGCTGGTGTGCATCTGTTTATTGCTAATGATTCCCAGCTGGGAAGACTTCACACGACAGGGCAAGTCTACATTAAAAACTGTGCACAATTCCTGTAATAACTAGAAAAAATAGGTCGAGTTTAATAGTAGTTATAAACAATAACCACAAAAGCATTAAGAGTGTATAATGAATCTAAATGTGGGGGTTTTTTTTGGGGTGTGGGGGTGGGGGCGGGACGGGTAGGGGAGAATAAACAGGCTATCTTTAAAAGAAAAAAAACAGTGTGTTTTATAGTTAGATGAAGTGACAACATCTCCAGGTGATAGGGGTAGGAAGAGAGAGAAAGGAACAATGTTCATCCCCCAAAGCAATTTGTACCACCGTACCACCAAGAGAAAGAGCTAATTCTGACTTACGGTTCAGAGAGAAGCTTGCACAAAAACAAATCTGCAGGCAATATTGGGCAAAAACAGTTAGCAGTTTGGTGGCTGAACCATCCCACTGCACTGGTTGCCCAGACAGCAAATATTTGCGTTAAGTTCCATAAGTTTCATCAGGCTTGTTCAAGSAACAAGAGAGCAGCTACTTAATCAAATATTTCAAGAGCTGATCCAAGAAAAATCTTGACTTGGCCTTTCTAACCAGCACTTCTGAAGTTTTCCTTGTAGACTACAGCATATAGTCAGGAATCAGGACTAGTTTTTATGACCATTAAACAAGAGTAGCTGCCATTATATGTCAATAAAAAAATATAAATAATTCAATTGTATTACACTTAAAACTTGAGACAAAATAGACAGACTTCCTGCAGCCGTGAATATACTCAACTGTCAAATAAAATTGACTTGGGATAGAGTTCCTATTCCAGATAAAAGTATGAAAAGTCCCAGGCTGACAAAGAGATGGGTGTTCTCTTCATGCACGTGGCTGCAGCAACTTGAAGACTGCAGGAAACAGTAAAGGTCCCCTAAACTGCCATGTCAGAGGTGTCAAGTCACCCAAGAGCTCCTGCTGTCTACGTAGGGGCAACACGGCATCCTTGCTCGTGGCAGAAAGGTTTGTCACGCTGCTTCTCTTTTATACAGGGGAGGGAAGATAAAATATCTAAAGTAGATAATATCTCATAGATGAAAGCTGGATAAAAGGGAAATGTGACATCTTCCAACATGCCGAGCTGCAAGATTTCATGCTCTCCTTCAAAGGAGTTATGTGCACAGGCCCAGCCGTGCATGGCAGGCAGCCAGGCGACACGCCATTGCCAAACTAAAAACGCCACACTTAACATCACAGCGAGCAGAGACRTGACGGCCCAGGCCATGGTGCTGCACTCAAGAACAGCAAAACTTCTGGATACATTGCAGGGAAGAAAAACGCCTACACAGACAGTGGTGGAAAGTCTGGAAAGTCCTTAGCAGCCATGCTGCGGCCTGCCAAGCCAGCTCTTTCAGCAAGGAGCATTCAGAAAAAAAACTAATGCCCAAGGCCTGGACAGGCTCTATCTAACAGCACAGCCGAAACTAGAGGCTTCTCCCTTGAGCTTAAATTAAAAAAAAAAAAAAAAAAATTAAAAAAAGAAAAGGGAGAGAGGCTGCCTTGCATGTGCTTAGTGTCAAAGCCAGAAGGGAAGCAGGCAGCATGAGCCACTGTGTGCACTGCAAGCCAGTAGAGAGCCCTGCTTGTAGGGCTGGGAGACTTGATGACAGAACAGCTGGGGAATTCTGTTATTAAATGCAGAACTAATCCTTTGAGACAACCCCCAATCTTACTTCCAAGTGTAACTGTGGTGGGCACTAAGGTTTTGCCAAGTGGAAAAAAGCTGTATTTATTGTAGACAGCGCTTGGAAAATATTAGTTTAACACTCAACAAGATCATTAGGAATTATGAGAACACAAAGCAAAGTGTTATATGCCAGCACAGAGCCACGTAGACAGTTCGAATTCTACACATAGTTCCAGTTGCTCCAGAGTAGAATCAAGAACAACACTGAATCTTTATCTTTGCTAACAGGAGAAATTTACAGAAAGTTTCCTCCATACAGGGAAAGTTTCACATTTTCCAAAATGAAAAGGAATTATGGCAACAAGAGTATATTATAGTAACGAGAAAGAGAATGGGAAAATTTAGAGAAACGGTAAACGATAATTAAGAATGCAGGGAAGTCACTAGTTAACAATTCTACAGTGTTGCAGAGATCAGAGTAAATTCATTCAAATGAAGAGAACTAGTAGCTATGAAGCAAGATGATCCTGATACAAACTAGCTCAAGAAGTTCTCAGCAAACTTGCAGTGAGAATGCAGAAGACTATAGCAGAGGATATCACTCTACATTTTCCTGATTTCTTCTGTTCTCTTCACAGCAGACTTGTCAAGACACAGAACACGAGGTTAAACTCATCCTATGCAGTGGGTTTTTAAGACTTTGAAGCAGATGCTACAGAAGGGAACTTTTATGGCTTCCACATTTTGAGGGAGTGCCAAGACAACTACCAGATTCACCCAAGTTTAATGTCAAGCAGAGGCTTCAGCTGATGAAAAACATTACAGTTCCTTAGATGTATCCTGCTGAGAGCACCTGTGTTAAAGTGCATCAGTTGCTCCACAGCAGTAATGCTAGGAGAAAAGATGAGATTTGATCTGCCTAGTAAACTGATTCTTGTCTTTCCCCAGATGAATACAACAGTTCCTTGTGTCCATATAGCACAGGAGCTCATTTCTCATAAAGTATCAAAACATAACCAGTTGCTAGAACAGCACAGAAGATCAACAGGACCTGCTCTCCCTTCCACATCAGGCAAAGGAATCACAAGCAAGACACGCTTCATAACTCACCTGGGTGTAGAAGCCACTAGCTGCCTCTAGGAACAGAGAAAGGTTCGCCTGAACTTCGCTCCGATTCGGATTTGCTCTATTTTTTGCTTGACCCTGTAGCGTAGTGATCTGATTTTTAAAAGCATGATTCCAACTGAAAACAAAAGAAGAGTTTTCCTTTTTATTTTGGAAATGTCTCATCATGTAGATAGTTCTCTCCCATTGCCAGGACAGGGATTGCTATTGAATTACAGAGTATTAGACACAGAGATGTATTCAAACAACACTCAGATTTAAAATCTTAAAAAGAGAAAAGCCACTTTCCCCCATCTCTCAGAGCTGGACAAACCAATTCTGATACTGGATAATAAATGCTACAATATTGTAAATATTTGTTCTATTAACTGTTCAGATCTAGGCATTATAGCACTGAAAAAAAATGAGATGCAGGGTATGGAAATCAGTTAAGAGTCACTTGCTCTGTCCCTGCCTCCAGGAGCCGACTCTGACATCCTGCTGGTCCTGCTTCCCTCCCAGCACTAAAGCAGCACGTGCTCCTCTTAACGAGGCCTGTTACAACACGTCTGTATTTTAAACCAGAAGGGCTGCACTTGCCACACCGAGAGGCTCTGTATGAACTTCCCCTGCTTCTTCACCCGTCAGAAGTGCTCTCGTAAAGCACTCACTCCTTCTTCCTCCCTCTGCCCAAACCAAGCTCAGAGCTAAATGCATAGGTCCTGGCAGCTCTTCCTGCCCTTACACCTCGCTTGAAGCTCCAGGTCAGCACATCAGGAGAACGTTCTCCCTTCTGTTCCCACCCTCCTCCCAGGCCAAAGGCAACAGATGTGTCTTTCCTCTTTCCCTTCTATCTTGCTCATCCAAAACCACTCCTGCAYGAAACGGCTGCTGCCAACTGCCAGGGGTAAAACCCTTATCTCTGGAATTCTCCCCACCTATTCCAGTAACAGTATCGTGTTTCACTCACAATACAGCTTCAGCTTTCATTTTAAAGGGAATAAGACAGTCATTTCATAGGATGCAACTGCTGCGCTGGAAGTGTTGAGAGTTTCCAGCTAAACAGCACACACAACACACATAMGTTTACTTAAGTACTTACAGGTCCTGCTCCACCTTTTTATCTAAAGCATATTCCAAATCAGTCACGAGCATTTTCTGATATAAGTCCTGTAGAGCCTGTCTGGATGTCCAGACTTCTGCTGGACCCAGCTTTGAATCTGGAAAAAGAAAACAAAAACAGAAGATACAACTGGTTTTGTAGTGTACAAATTTACAAAGTTATTTCTAAACTGACAGTCCACTCACTCACCAAGTGAGAGAACATAGCAGAGTATAAGGTACCCCAAAGCCAAACATCCAGTTTAATAAGAGATTTGGCAAAACCTTGAAATACAAGATGCTGTGCAGGCTCTATAGTCCTTGAACAGAACTGAGCACACTTGGGCCAGCCTAGACGGCTCAGGGATTGAGCGCCAGGTTCTGAATCTGGCGCTCATAACTCTAATGCTTGGGGACATGTGTGGATTCACTCACTTCTGCACTTCTCAAATCTTTAACATAATGCACACACTTTATATATAGTCCTTACGAATGGCAAGCCTAAGTCACACAGAAGAAAAACAGGAACCAGGTACTATGAGCTACATCAGCTATGCATTAAAGGCAATTACCTGTCATGTCAGCCTTCAGGACTTCTGCCTGCCTGTAAGAAAGCAATAAAACAAGAAATCAGAATCTGATTAAAAAATAATGCAGTTATACTACAACAAATTAATGCAACAGTGAATACAGAAAGTGGTGCCAGCCCCTTAGAGGCTGCCTACAGCCTAAGCTAGTGTATTTTCCATTCCTACAAAGTGGGGATTGGAACTACTTTTTTATTACAGCACGATCTCCTCAGCTATCCTGTCACAATGTCATCCTATCAAATGGGAGTTTAGAGTTCCCCTCTTTGAATTAACTCTGAGTAGTGGCACGTGAGGAAGGTCACTCTGCCAAGTACCTTCAGCATCCGCCAGTTTTGTTGCATGTGCTCCGTAAAGACCCAGAGCTAACATTATGGATCGAGGTGGCTCTGGCCCACTTGTGGGGGACTGCATTTCTTCAAAAATCAGTCTCAAAATTTCTTCAATATCAGTCTCTAAAATACCAGTTAACATCCAGCTACTACATTGCATCTTGACAGAAAAGGAGCATCGCTCATTCCTCCAAGACACTTCTTTGAAGAGCCTTTGCTGGTGTTCAGAGACTCCTAGTGGACACAAATCCGAGCTCACTGATAAAGCCGAGAGCTCCAGGTGGTGCCAGCGGTCTTCGTCACTACAAACACTGTCAGACAATGACTGGGGAATCTCTCTCCATCTGTGTATTTTGAGTGTCACACTGAAGTCCCACCRGACTGACTTGTTGCCTGGCTCTGACTGCCAGCAAACTTGGCGTCACTTGTTCACACTTTTGATCTGTTCAAGAAGGTTCTCGAACTTTTCTCACTGACCTGTTTGCCTCGGCAGTTTACAGACTTAAGTGAGGTTTCCTTAAGCCCTATTCACTGACCCAAAGCCTTAGAGCACAAACGATAGTTATTCAAAATTAATATTCCTCAAATCTTCATTGAAACACACAATTTGGTGTATCGTGAGAGCTATTCTTTAACATAAACCTAGTCTAGGGCTTTAGCTTAAAAAGAAGTGCAATTATAAAAACCCTCAATTCAGTTCATTACCAACATTCAACAGCCAAAGGAATTATCATTTTATTCAAATACTTGAAAAGCTTCCACACTTTCAAACAGGGTGCTCTGAAATAAAACAAGGGTTCTAGTGGATCAACATGTGGGGAGGTTTCAGTAGCCACAGGTGGCCAAAGCAGCATTCCCAYCCCCAGGAAGCTGGCAGGGTATCAAGGGCAAGGTTACTGCACCTGGGTGCAACACAGACACTAGGCTTAGCTGGGAGGGCAGTACCTGAACTGGCAAGGAGAGATGCAGCCTGCCCCTCCATGGCCGAGCTTTGCCACTCTAATCAACCAAGCTGTCCTTAAGCAGAAAGCTTAGGTAGCTGCTCCTGAACCACGTTAGGGCAGACGTGCTGCGAACGACACCATCCTCACCACGCACCCTGCTGACATGGGCACTCTCCACTGCTGCCATCGTGGAACAGTCGCTTAAACACCCAGACCCTGGAGTCTTGTCTCTGAACCAGGGATTCTCTCCCACACACTAAGCCATTTGCATAAAGCTGCATCTCTAAGAGGGCTGCATCAGTTCAAAAAAGAACACGTGTGTTAATTTTTGCCTTCCTTTTACTTGTTAAGACGATAAACCCTGAAGCGCAAGCTTCCAAAGCAGCAGTCTGCATTACCCAGCTGACCAAGACAGGATTTCCGTGCATCAGGCTGGACAGAGCCAAGCTTCGTTTACAACGTGTTCCTCTCAGTTACGCCTCGAGCGCGAGTCACACCAGACCTGCCGCGGCACGACAAGCCTTACCAGGGGCATTAAAAAACCCAGCACACACAGGCATTGGGAACAAGCTCTGCTTCCCCGCAGCCTGGAAGCAGAATTCCCATCAGACGCTTCAGCAGTTCACTTGCCACTCGCACATCACTAAAGACTTGAGGATTTTCAGTACTAAAATGGGAAACTGGCCCAGGCAGGTGGTCATATAAAAGCCTTCGGAGTCAATTGCTTGTTTGGTGAATACTACACAAATTAAAGGCTAATGAAATGCTCAGGGTAGTTTCCCTCCAAGTATGAGTTTATATTTGTGCATTTCTCTCCTCCAGAGTTACTTGCAGAAAATGTGCAGTAAAGAGGAGAACTCCAGTCTACCAGCCTTTAAGAGGAGSTAGGTGACCCCTCGGAAGTCCCACTGAAAGGAGGGGACTAGAGAATGACTGAATTCAGGCACTGCCAGAAACATCTCCTTCTTCCAAAAGAAAAGCAGCAAATAAAGGCAGAGAATCCTTTCTCAGGAGGAAAATAAGGTGATTTTTCTATGATAGCATGCTATTTTTAAGTGTATTTGATTCAGAGCAGGGAAAAGCAGCAGGAAACATCAATAGCATAGGCAGTACACAAAGTTACAAAGGAAATTCATGGGAGAAGGGGGGTTGTTCATGGGCATCCAGCTATAACCAAGACAGCATCCACATCTGCCCTTCAGCACTGAGCAAAAGTTGCTGCCCAGTATCAGTGGCCAAGTGCTACATGAAACAAATGCTCGTGCATTTCCTACGAGCAGGCACTAATATCAAGAAAATAAAGCCTTATTAGCCACTTTTAGAAGCTCCCTGGGCACTAATCCATAACAGCTGGTGAGCTTTGCTCAAGGTTGCGTTTTGAAAGCTGATACAGAAAGCACTTGCACTTTCCTGCCCCACGTGTAGACRGCATGCATCGACCGCGAGCCAGCAAAGACTTTTTTAAAACACAGTCTTAGGATCGGGCACGTATCCAGGACTTGCACAGCACCAGGATACTTAAGAAAAACAAACAAGCAAACCAGAAAACAAAATCAAGATCCAACCCTCTTTAAAGCTTTCTTTACCCATTGATTCAGCTTCACCTACATGAGTAAAGGCCTTCAGAGCCCAGCTCCATCCATGAAGTCCCTGCCTGACAGGGTAACTGGAGGAAGTCAGAATCTCACCGTGATACAGCGAGTCTGATGCAAGCACAGACCTTAATTTAAATGCCCATAGTTTTCAGCAGGTACTTACATCACTTGCTTCACACACAGAGAGCTTTTACCCATGTCAGCTACTAGTGACATAGCAAGAGATCCTCAGGCCATGAGTCATCCAGCTAAATGCTCTGCATGTCTAACCTTTTACACTCGGAGGACAGTCTGCGCACACTTGGCAGCAATTTTCCTTGGAAAGAAAATCTTCARCAGTAGCCAGCTTATTATTTTTACATGCAGTAAATTTAACACTTCTTACTGTTACAATAAAATCCCAGGCTGTGTCCTCACAGCCAGCTTTGTTCAAATYCACTTCTTGCTCTTCTGTTGGCAACAACGGGAAGTAAAGGTGTTCCCAATAGGTAAATCTGCTCCAAGAAAGTTCATCTCTGCATACTGTCCTGTTTCATCTATGGGGAAGGGAAGGAGTCTCCTGCCCTGCTCAAGTTCCTACAACTCAACTGCCTCCTCCAAACAGAGCTCCCGCTCATTCCCGCCTAGAGACAACATCTCATGGGAGCCACTCACTGCAAATGCATGTTAAATGCCTTGGAAAAGGCACCTGGGCTGCAGAGTTGTCCAGCAACAGAAATATGCCTGGGTCCTCTCTGTAAAGGTTCTAAAATATAAGTCAGGAGAGTGATCTGCAAACAAGGTACGTGGCTGTCTGGGTTCTTAGTGAATTCAGACAAAACTAGCTAGTAATTAAGACCAGCTTAAAAAGCTTAGCTGAATCTTTCCTAAGTTCTAGCCACTGATAGAAAAAAATATTCTTAAAATATGGAATATCCTGTTGTTTAACTTTCTATTTAGATCCATTTGTTGTCTGGAATAGTGTTTTACTGGAGCACTAGCTTCCTCCCCTGCCTCCCCTGCCCCCCCCCCAATCTGCATTATGAAAGTCATGTCCAGGTCTAATCCAGAAAGGATGCACAAGTCTGACAGCATCAGGCAGCTATCGGCGTCACTTCGGCTGACACAATCAAGTTGTTTCCTAGAAATACACTGCTCGTGAGCCCCCCAGAGAGCTGGATTAGGTACAGGTAGAGGGGAGATTTCTTTGTGTTGCTGTTTGCTCTCCTTGCTCGCAAAACACCCCTTATCCAGTAGCAAAAGCTGATTCTGCTGCAGGTCCATAAAGCCGGGAATAATTTGCAGAGATGCAGGGAGAAAGCGTTCAAGGGGACTCAAAACTAGGGGCAATCAAGATACTAAGAATAACTTCCTTGCTAAGCAGCAGGTGGAGAAACAGCAAATATATTAGATATCTAGGTATCGTGGCCACAGTTGGAGAGGAGAAAAAGTGAGAAGGAAACTGAACAAGAAGGGACCCAGAAAGAAAACAAGGGGCCCAGAAAGAAAACAAACAAAAAGATAAAAAAAATCTTATTAAACCCTGAGATTTAACTGGGGCTTGGAAAATCTTCAGCCTTTTGAACATGCTATTCCTATTGGCTGATACAGAGACATCTACCCAGACAAGTCCTTCAAAGAAATGTAAAGCCCAAATCAAAGCTATCGATGTTGAGATCATTCACTGCAGTGATTCAGCAGCACAGAACAGGTTTTGGCCCAACCAAGCTCACTTTAACTCACAATTAGGCAAACGTCATGCAAATACAACACGTTCCAAGAATCTGAGAAATGACACCATCAGAAGTACTAAAATAGCTTTCTATAAGAATTAAAGAGATTTTTTTGATGTGAAAGGAACTTACAGTTTTCACAAGCTATTACTATTAACGTTCAAATTATATCCAGGTATGACTAATTGCAGGTTAAATCTTAGAAGTTATTTTCAATTCTCCATTTTAATACAAAATGCAACACTCAAAGCACAGAAACGGAATCAATACTGACTACCAGTCATGGAGAAATGCATCACAGTCGTTCACGAAAGTAAATAGGTACCAAGTCTCTTTCTGCCAASGGTTCCCAGGGAAGTTCCCCTTCCTCATTGGGAAGCACCTGGGCAACGCTGTTTGGCAATACACTTTTCAACCCAAGATAGCTGCAAAAGGATTTTTCCAAAGAAGGAACTGTGAAAAAGGAAGACGCCGAGTCCTCTACCACCACAGGACTAATGAGGCCCTGTCACACACGGTCATTTCCAAGAAAAGAAGAGGACACGCAGACCCTGCGCTCTCAGGCCACACAACCAGCAACATTTGCTACCCGTTTCTAGAGAAGCACGAAGGTGACACGAAGCATCAGGGACATGTGTGTGCCTGCAAGGAGCCAGGAAAGGTACTGTTATCAGACCCCACATTCATCTTGCAGGTCTCCACACGCAGCAGTCACTGTGTTCCCCATGTTGGGAAGCAGAGCAGCCTGTACCACTCGTGGAGAGCTCAACCTCTCCATTCTTCCACAGGACAGAGAAACTTGCCTAGAGAGATATTCACCTCCACCTATCATTGACAGAAGCACAGCTGCAATGCTCAACTCTGTCTCTATAGCTATATACCCTATACATATATATCTACTTGCACATTCAGGACTATGCTCCCCATCCAGATGGGCTGTCATCTACAAAACATGGAAGCCCACCAGCAAAACACACCTACTCCAATGCACAGACCATAGGTGTTGCTCTCACTATGTCCAGTCAACTGTTACTGGGGTCTACTTTGGGGATTAAGCATGAAAAAGCTATTGGTTTTAGCTGATACCCACCAAATACAAGCTCTGTAGAAAAACACAAATTGAAGTCAGTTCTCAGTACACCCAGGACTGCAGCCTTCTTTTCAGTGGGAAGTCCAGACCTGATCATTAGATCCCTTTTCCACTCAGCACCAGTTATGGAAAAGGCTCTACAGCATCGGATTATCACATCCAGCCTGAAGCACAAACAAATCTGGAAAGGACCTTGAGAGGTTATGCAGTCCCTGCCCTTGGCCTTATGCTATTCCTGACACACATTTGTCTCACTTGTTTTTAAAGTTCTGCAGAGGCAGAGACCTCAATGCCCAAAGCAGCAGGTTCCAGCAGCCCCAGGTCCAGCCACACCATGAGTGCCCAGGCTCCCTCCTAACACTGAAAAACTACCAGCAAACACCACTGTCCTCCCTAAACTATATAAACTTGGTAAAGTAGTGAAAGAGATAGTGACTTGTCCGTGTCCGGTTAGGCCGAGGGTGCATTTTGAGTCTTTCCTGCAAACAAAGCAGGAAGGGCCCACGTGGGGCAGGGATGCAGGACACGACTGCACGGTTCACAGTTAGGAACTGACACCCACGCGGATCCGACTTGCTCAAGCAAGCTTAGCTTGGGCAGTTCACTCTGCAACCACAATAAGCTGTAAARGCTTTGTACAGTATCCAAGCACCCTCACAACAAGTTTAAACACTGACCAACTCAGGCAGTGCATTTCAGCATTTCACAATAAAGCACAGGAACTATGTGAATCCTGCTGTTCTTGCCTCCAAATCTGAAATCCACACGTTCAGCACTGCTCTCAAAATCTCTAAAATGAAATAGTAGGGGTGTGCATAAAAGGAGAAAAAACCTGCTAAAAGTTCATGAGACCCTTCTCAACCATTACTACCATTCCAAGTGCACCTCAAATGAAGATCTCAGAGATGCTGTTAAAAACAAAACAAAGACAGCAGAGGAATCACAGCTGGCATTTGCCAAAGGTTCCTCATAGGCYACAGGAAATCTTGGTTTATTCACTATGTCTCAAACAGTTGTAACATCCATGTGCTTCCTCCCAAACCACGGTGAGACCAAGGGAGGACAAGGTAAAGCAATATCAGAAAACACAGGAACAGAATTCACAGACTTATCAAGAAAGGAAGGAAAAAGACACCATCTTTCTAAACTGATTTATCACAAATTAATTCCCTTCCACTGGTGACAAGTTACCTAAGAGGTCAAACATGTTGATAACAGCACAGATCATATTGTGGTCCAGAGGATCCTAGCCCCAGCTGGCCCAGGACAAACTGCCCTTTACTGTATCCCGATCAAACAGGAACAACTAACAAAGCCTCATTAAACCGCGGCATCAAAAAAGATCGGAGCAGGTCTCAAATAAAATCCCTTGGTGGACAAGAGGTATTTTGTTGGGTTCAAAAGAAAGTCTAACCTCTCAAAGCTCCTGTAAAGGATTTGAGAAACTCTTCCCCAAGTGCATTCGAGAGAATCAATTAGGTGCCAATAGAAACTTGTACAAGTGAACTTCCCACTTCCTGGAAGCAAGACAGCAGCTTCCTGGATTAGGGGCAACACATGGGACCAGAGTGTGCTTCATAGGGGAGTAGAAGGGGAGAAGGGAAAGAAAACAGCTCACAAACACCAATATTGGATGAAGCAAAAAATTGGCCAAAAGTGCCAAGCATGAGAAGATACTTTCAACACCACAGACAATGAAATGAAGTATGAGAAATTGACTGCTGGTGCATTAAAGACATCATAAATATTTTCAGAAAATGACATTATACTTTTGCCCTGAAGGTAGAAGAGAAAATTAACTCTAGCAGGACTCCCAAGTACCTCAAGGGTATCTCTGATTTGAGTCCCATCAGTGAAATTCAGTCTGTCGCCCACRGCAGTGTAACAATCCCAAGAGATTCCTCAGCCTTCTGGTTCCTTATGAATATCCCTTGAGCGTGGAAGCCAGTGTGAATAATCCGAGAAAAGTCCTACTGGAATACAGAAAGGAGAGAAAGCAGACCTAAGGTTACTCAGAAAGCTCTTGTTCCATCTCAACCCATAGAATTTTATCAATCCAAATCAGCAACTGCTGAGGTACCTCAGAGCAATTTAAAAGCAGTATCGAAACACTGCACAAATCACTGCCCTCTCCTCGGCTTGTCCATGGAATCCCCAGGCTTTAGATGGGAGCCACTTGTACGGCTCCTCTTGAATTCAAGCGGGAGGGAAAGCCGCGGTCAGACAGATCTGGAAACATGGCCTAAAGGCAATGCGCGGAGAGCGGCTGRCAACACGGAGCCGGTGACGAAACCTGCACGGCCGCGCAACTAGTCAGCGAGGCAGGGCCTGCAACACCGCGAGTACCCGCCAGGCATGTACAGTACAGCTGCCAGCCCCGCCGTACGCACAGCAAGGAACTACAGCCCACAAGTCACATCCACCATGCCTCATGTCCTCCCGTGAGGAAGGAGAGGCTGGTTTTCCCTTCTCACTGGCAAGATGCTACTCAGCAATTCCCTCCCATGCAAAGGAAGGACCATGGTTTGCAGAACACAGACACAATCTACCACCTCATTAGTAACACCAGGAAAAAAAAAAAAAACACACACACACACACACACACACACACACACAAAGACCAAAATATACAGTTCCGATAAAGCTTTTTAGAGGAAACAAAAGGGTGTTTTTATCCCCCTTGTCCTTGGCAACAGCCATGAGGTTTGTGGCATGAGAAGGACAGGTCTCAAGTTCAAAGAAACAAAGAGAGGTGACCACTGTCCCCTCTCTTTCTACGTTATAGATCTACTGCTAAACTGCTCTGCCACCCTTCACCCAGGGAAACCAGGCAGACACCAGCTGTGCTGGAGCCAGCAGCTCCTTCCCCTCTCCCCATCCACCCTGCACATGAGCCACAACTATGACCTCCTCCCCTACTGACTACTGCCAGGTTACAGTTACTCCCTCCCCGGCTTCTGCCAGGCAGGAAAGCAGCCAGGGCATATTCCCATGGAGTCACTCTTGTCTCCTGTCACCCTCAATGATCCCGAGTAGTGAGCGCAGCCACCTCTGCCTCTTAAGTGGGAAGCACCACAAAATTTGGAAGTGGGTGCAGTAACCAATATACCAATCTGAAAAGCAGCTTCCCATTCCATACGTATTGAATAAGAGAAAGCTTTTTCACACGTAYTGAATAAAAGAAAGTTGCTTGAGATTAGTGATACAATTGAAGGCCCAGATCAACTGATTTAGAGGCRAAGCGGGAAAAAAGTCATTTAATTATTTGAGCAGGCTATTTATTGGATGGAGATACCCTGGACAGAGGAAATGGGTTTTTCAAGCAGCTTGAGTATCATGCTATGCTTCCTACTGACTGCCTAAGTAAAATGGCTTGGCATCCAGCAAGCGTTAACTGGCAAGTGTACCTTCTACCGTGCACTGAAATGAAGGGGCTTCAAGAAATACACCAAAACCCTGTACTCAAGGAAGGAAAAAATGGTTTGGAGTTGGTCAAGTGCCCCATATCAAAGCTTTCAATGGGCTCCTCTGATTGCACTGCTACTACGCAGTTTTCTCTTTCCCAGCAAAAACCAAATCACATAGAAATCTGCAGTTAGAACAAGCACAAGTAGTGCAGTTAGTACAAGTAGTTATGTCAAGAAGCATCACTGTGAAAGGGGAGAAAAAAAAAAAAAAAAAGAATGTAGCTTCACTTATGCTAACCTGCACTTCCAGGTCACTGGAGCATCATTTTGAAAGCAGTCTCAAGCCTGTTAGAAAAAAATTGCAGTAAYAGCATCCATGATAAGCTGTGTTTGTAGCAGGAAAAGAGAAGGAGAAAAAAAAAAGTTCCTCCTCCTTTCCCAGTGCACAGCGAGGACAGGGATGCTGCTATCTGTGATAGTGACACCATGACATGAGGGGACTCGAGGGCTCGCGTGCTCCAGGACAAGAGCTGTGCAACGGCGCTGCACCCAGCGCGCGCTCCCGCGGTGACCGGCGCGGCGGCTGCACGGAGCAGCCAGCCCTGTCGTTGCCTCACAGCCTCGCCGCTGCTCCACACGGCCCGGCCCTCTGGCCGGCACGCGCCTGCTTGCCTATCTGGGGAACGGAACCAGGGAACCAACTCACATCAAGCAACATGGCAGGGGGGACAACCCTCCCAGACTTAACCTAAAGCTCCCGTCCAGTTTGCTGCAGACCTAGCCAAAAGTTTAGCCCCAACTTCTCAGCATGAGGAGTGAGCGCAAGGAAGAGCGCGATGCTMCTGCTGGGAGCAGTGCAAGGGCAAAGTGGCCTTCTCCAGTGGTGCGGCCAGGTCCTGCCAAGCACCAAAGAGGGCCGAGGTCTCCCATCACCAGCAGGCATTTTATACAGATTAAGAGTCACCCTCTCGACAGTTGCTCAAGCTTAAATGAGGTTGGAAACTCTGCTGAAAATGGTTACAACTTATTAAAATCACTTGGGAGAGGAGAGCAGCAACTGTTAAGCACTACAGTCACACCAGGGATGTTCAGCCTTGCTCCCTTTGGTGTTCCTTTTTCTTTTTCCTCCTCCTCCTCTCTTTTTTCCTCCTAACTTCACAGGTAAAAAAAAAAAAAACAGGTACTAGAGCTTGCAGCTCAGCAGCAAGAAGCTGTCATCATGAATTACTGGCTTTTCAAACCACTACCCTCAACCTCCAGAGGAGGTCAGAAGTGTTGGYCATTCTAAATGGAGGCAGCACTTCTGGTATCAAATCCCAAAAGCGGGGAAGCCGGGAACGCGCTGCAGGGACGATGGCAGCAGCCCCTGCCTGTGGCGAGGGCGCCAGGACAGAGCCCAGGAGCAGGATGAGACACAACACAGAATTCACAGAATATTTAAGGTTGGAAGGGACCTCTACAGATCATCTAGTCCAACCTTCCTGCTCAAGCAGGCACACCTAGAGCATGTGGCACAGGGTGGCATCCAGGCGGGTTTTGAAGACCTCCAGAGTAGGGGACTCCACAACCTCCCTGGGCGGCCTGTTCCACTGCTCTGTCACCCTAACAGTAAAGAAGCTGCTCCTCACCTGGAGATGGAACTTCTTATGCTTCAGCTTAGGCAGGCATCAACCATCAACAGGCATCAACCTGGAACAGGAGCCTTTGGGGGCRGATATGGTAGAAAACTTCTCTGTGCCAAGGAGGGCCAAGCAGTGGCACAGACTGCCCAGAGGGACTCCCTTATGGAGCCTGCACATAACTAAATGCTGATTCTACCTTTCTCCTCAGGAAACACTCTGGACTTGATTCATACAGGATTCTCACTCATATTTCACTAATTGACCGAGGTCAACTCCACACTATCTTCATCGGGAACCTGGTGCAGAATGAGCCTCAGCTCTACYCTCCTCGGTCAGCAAGGGAGAAGGGCTGCAAGAGGCACGTCTTGGTCTGGCAGGCAGCACCAGAGCAGCCACGAGCGCTTCTGCTGCCGAACGGGGCTACTCAGGAGCTGTTGAAAAGGGCACCACAATTTCAATTATTAAAGTCAAACCTTTAATGAAGTTGGTTATAGCCTCACCATAAGACTACAGGAAACTACCGGTTTGTCAGCACTAAAATTTATAAGCAGTATTCCAGCCCTGTAATTCAAATTTTTTTTTTCCCCTGTGTTTACCTAGCATCAAACGCCACAATCTAACAAGGGGAAGGTTAGAGTCAACTAGTAACTAGAGTTCATATCTTTCTACAATACTACTGAGAAAGTTGCACCCCAGTCAATCTGCTAACTTCATGAATTGATATTTAATATGTGTATATAAAATCACCAATGAAGGTCACTTCCTCACAGCAAACGTGAACTTGAGCTCAATCATACCTTTTAAAAGAAGGGATGTGTTTGGAAGTTTCTGTGGTGGTGCATTAGAAATCCTATTGGTAGTGGGTATTTTGCTTGTAAGCATCTCCTTCTGTACTTAGGGCTATGTGCAATATTTACTGAGAGAAGACTATTGCAAAGGACAAATTTAATTTGTGGTGAGTATCTAAAGTTCCTTAAGGCAGCAAAAAAGATCAAAATAAAAAATAAACATTTTCTAGCGAAGTCAGACTTACCAGGCCTAGAGCACATTCATCTGAGCAGAACAAACCTATGAACTCTTTTTCCTAAGAGCTTTTTGAGAGAACTTTCCAAAACCTCCATTATAACTAGACATTTACCTCTCAAATTTTTCCTCACCCAACCAGGTCTAATGCAAATCTTTGAGAAGTGACTCAAAGTCAGGCCAGAGAGAAGTACCTGGCAGGCCTAGTTCCCAGGCAGGGAGCCCCAGCTCCCACAGGACAGAAGGCAGCTCACTGCTCTTAGAAGGTCACCTTGAAAAGGCAGWAAGGGTGAGAAAGCCCAAACCCCTGTGCCACCTTATGCCACATATGAAGATGACCTAAAACAGCTCTTTTCTCTCCTCCTGCAACTTTCTAAGCAGTACCTGGTTCATTAAGACTGACCTCTGTGTCTCCTGGGAGGCTTCTGCAGGAGCCCCAAGTAGCCAGCAGCTCTTGAATTTTGATAAATGCAGCACCATCTTCTCAGGACCAGATTTTAAGCTTAAAATAACTGACTCATTCATACAGGAAGGAAGAGTCTGGTAGCGGAGGAGTTAAGGCAGTCTGCCTAAAAATCCTTTTCTTTCCTGCTAGCTCTTTCAGTCTCCCTTGATTCCTGCAGAGTCATTATTTCACTCAACCATTAAGTGGTTACACCTAAGAAATTCAGGTTTCTTTTATCCTAACTTCAAAAACCAAGCCCAAAACATTTTTCACAGAAACTTTTTTGCCCCTCCTTAGCTACAAAAAGCAAAAATCATCAGAGACCAAATGTCCCACATCTTCATCAGGCTGAATGTTTTCTTTAACTACCCTCTTCTGTCATTTTATTTGTGTCCCTATTCCCTCATGATGAAGCTTTTAGCACTCCATGAAGGAGAACCTCCTGCATGAGGTAGGAATCCGAGGCTGTGTTCCCTGCTCTCTTCCCTTAAGAGCTCACACCATGGAAAATCTGGACATCTCATTTTCTAAATACACTTGCTACTACAGCTGCAGATGGAAAAAGCATTTCATGCTTTTGGGAATTCTCCCTCTCCCCAGACTTACCCTCTACATAGAGGAACAAAAACTAGGGTAGTTTAGAGGCAGAAAACAAGAAGACTTCTCCCAACTCTGCTGGGAGAGTTTGAGGCTTTGTCTTTTCTTTTTTTTTAAAAAAAAAAAAAAGGCAGAGACAAGATGCTTGGTGACAAGGCCCGGCACGGTCACAGGTAACACACGAACGCCCAGGTGCTCCAGCGCAGCTGTACCAAGAACCACCGGGGCGGGGGGCCGAGCAAGGCTCCCGAGCAGCGGAGCTGCCCGACWGCGGCGGCTCCGGCCCGCGGGCCGGGAGGCTCCCGCGGCCGGCGCGGGAGGACGCGGAGCCTCCGCGAGGGAAGAGCCGGGGGAGGGCGGGCGGCCCGGGCAGCACGAGCAGGTCCCGGTGCCGCCGGGCGAGGTCCTGCCGCGGAGCGGGGGCTTCACCCCGCGGGGCCCGTCCCGCGCGGCCGCCGCGACGGCGCCGTCCCGAAC